GAGAATAAACAACAAACAGTGGGAGCATATCCCCGTGAAGATCTGGGCAGAGAATAAACAACAAACAGTGGGAGCATATCCCCGTGAAGATCTGGGCAGATAATAAACAAACAAACAGTGGAAGCATATCCCCGTGAAGATCTGGACAGAGAATAAACAACAAACAGTGGGAGCATATCCCCGTGAAGATCCGGACAGAGAATAAAAAAACCCAGTGGGATCATATCCCCGTGAAGATCCAGGCAGAAAATAAACAAACAAACAAACAGTGGAAGCATATCCCAGTGAATATCCGGGCAGAGAATAAACAACAAACAGTGGGAGCATATCCCCGTGAAGGTCTGGGCAGAGAATAAACAGTTGAAGCATATCCCCGTGAAGATCCAGGCAGAAAATAAACAAACAAACAGTGGAAGCATATCCCCGTGAAGATCCGGGCAGAGAATAAATAACAAACAGTGGGAGCATATCCCCGTGAAGATCTGGACAGAGAATAAACAAACAGTAGGAGCATATCCCCGTGAAGGTCTGGGCAGAGAATAAACAAACAAACAGTGGGAGCATATCCCCGTGAGGATCCGGGCAGAGAATAAACAACAAACAGTGGGAGCATATCCCCGTGAAGATCCGGGCAGAGAATAAACAACAAACAGTGGGAGCATATCCCTGTGAAGATCCGGGCAGAGAATAAACAACAAACGGTTGGAGCATATCCCTGTGAAGATCCGGGCAGAGAACAAACAAACAAACAGTGGGAGCATATCCCCGTGAAGATCTGGACAGAGAACAAACAAACAAACAGCGGGAGCATATCCCCGTGAAGATCCGGGCAGAGAACAAACAACAAACAGTGGGAGCATATCCCTGTGAAGATCCGGGCAGAGAATAAACAACAAACGGTTGGAGCATATCCCTGTGAAGATCCGGGCAGAGAACAAACAACAAACAGCGGGAGCATATCCCCGTGAAGATCCGGGCAGAGAATAAACAAAAAACAAACAGTGGGAGCAGAGGCTCCCCATAGCCACATTCTTTAAACTATCATCTCTCTCAGGGAATACTGTTAAAGCGGCATAAAAACCCAACTCACTCACTCTGACCACTTGGTGAATAAAATAAGCTGATGTTGCAACGAACACGCTGACTATGACTACGGCCTGTACTTGAAAACTGGGAAAGTTAGTATTTCATAGCGCGTTATTTATTATCAATAGATAATTCCAGTAAGTAATGTAGTCACAGGTAATTTATCACAGCTTAATATCCAAGATCGGCTCGTCTATTTGTGCCTGCCCTATGTACGGGTCAGGTAACAAAACACCATAGGTATGAAGCATGGCTCAGAACAGAGCGGATCTGTGGGTTGGCTGAAACAAGTGATAGAAATATATATCTGTTCTGGGATAAAAACAATTTGTCCCCAGCTTTTGCAAACAAAACATAAATTGTTATCTGGATATGCTGGGTGTTTGCAAAAAGAATGTTATGGGTGAAGACGTGTTTGGTTCCTCCTTGAGGGCAGATACTTGTGTATCAGTGAAGAGTTTTCTTAATTTATATGGGTCGGAGAACTTTTTCGATGTGGGGAAACCAAATCCGGAAAGTGAGCGAGCTTGTTTTAACACCGTGTTGGTCAGTATTTCAGGTACGGCGAATCCATGTTAAACTGCGGGACGGTATATCTCAGTGTTTCGATGTGAGGAAACCAGATTCAGAAAGTGAGCGAGCTTGTTTTAACACCGAGCTGGTCAGTATTTTAGGTACGGCGAGTCCATGTTAAACTGCCTGGATCAATGCTCATGATATCAATCACTGGATTGTCTGGTCCTGACTCGATTAATGACAGACCGTCGTCTCATAGCTGGAATATTGCAGAGTGCGGCGTTAAAAACAAACAAAACAAAACTTTAACGCGATGTTAAACCCATTTCACCTCACCTCACCTCACCTCACCTCACCTCACCTCACCTCACCTCACGGTTTTAAGTAAAATCATTCGGATGATTAAATGTCAAGATTAACTTTCATGGACAAGTGCCCCTTTAACTACATGGAGAGGACCCAAGTTGTAATCGCCCGGATGTCGGTGGCTGGTTTATCGGTGGAGTCTACTATCGCCTACAGTGCACTTTTCCTACAGTCACTTCGCCTACAGAAATTGTAGCATGGTGTGGTAGTTTGCCTGCACTAATAATTATACATCCCTAACTGACAAATGGATTAGTCCACGCACTATCTCGTTACAGGTTAAAAATTTCAAACAAAGATACTGTAACAACATATCAAGATAAAACTTGCAACTCTCTTGACGGGAAATGTAAGCCCTGGGAGAAGGGAGAGTAGGGAGGGCGAAGCCCGACCTAATTTCCCGAACTCCCAGGGCTGTTTGAACATATGTTTCAGGGCATAGAAGTGATGCCGTACGTACGTATAAACGTACTTCAGACTAGCAAAGGAGGACCCTGTCGGACATCATTGCAAAAAAGAGGAAGCAGGATGTAAGCTCTGAGCCGACGCCGATTGTAACTGAAACGTCTAAGCCCGAGACTTCCCCCGAAAAAGATGAAATTGACATTGGTCGTCGTTTTGTACTCAATTTCACTTTTCATTAAACCTACTTCATAAGTGTTGCTTTCATTAATTTGAACTTTGAGGCATTTGGGAAACGAGGTTTGTCCCTAGGCCCATCTGCACAACGCGATTTTAGTGCTAAAACTATTTTAAACTATTTAACTTGGGAAACTCAACCATTAGCACTAAAATCGCTTTGCGCATCTGAAGCCAGATCTTGCCGGCGGAATGCCCAGGTCTTACCAGCAGAATGCCGGTAAGATCCGGGCATTCTGCCGGTGGGACTTGTGGGAACGATAGCGGAGTTTACCTCCGCAAAGAAGAGACTGTCTGAACAATGGAGTGACGTCATCAAAGGTTTATAAGAACAGGACGAAGAATGAAAATGTGTACTGGAGGTGTGTGAACAGATCTTGCAGTGGCAAGTGCACCACAGTCCGAGACTACGTTCGCGGAACGTCAGAACACAACCATCCACTTAGTGATGACCGAGCAGTGAGATTTGTCAACGCCATAAGGAAGAGGGCCAGGCAAGAGACAACACCTATGCATGGATGGGTGGATGACGGTGCCCGGTTCCCACCTCGACTGTGTATATACCATGCGACACAAGGACCCCGTACAAACAACAACCTAGAAGGTTTCCACTCCAGAATCGGCAAGTCCCTCCAGCACAAGCATCCAAACATCTTCAGATTTATCGAACTGATCCAGAAGGTAGAAATTTCAGAGAGAGCGAAACTGACAATGAAATAACATTTGAATAAAAAATTGTGAAATCTACCCAGCTTGTTACATGGGTGATACCATTTTACTTAATCAAGGGTACAGGGTACTAATTACTGATGCAACCAGCCATAACGAGTGTTGTTTTAACGGGTCTGCGTTTTGGCAGGTCTACGTTTTGGGAAGATACCCTCTGATCTTGTTATGTTGTTACAATGTATTTACCTGAGTATCTCACATGAGAAGAGAGAAGAGAGAAGCCAGCAAATAATTAACAATAAAGTATAATATCAGTAACATCATTTAATTAACCTGCCCTACCAAGGTCCTTGACTCAGGTTGACCTGCCCGACACATGGAACACAACAACAGATGTCCCTCTCCGACACATGGAACACAACAACAGATGTCCCTCTCCGACAAGTCCAAGATGCCTGGTTGGATGCCATGGACCACGCTCCCAACATCCCTCAAGCCATCCCCTTCAACGATTACATGGTGACCATATGGGCGGATGACGACGGCCGGTTCAAGCCAGCAATTTGGAACCACGGTGACAACACAGGTCCAAGGACAAACAATCATCTAGGAGGGTGGCACAGTCACCTCAACAAGACGGTCCATCCTAACATCTTCGCCTTGATCCGAGTGTTGCAGCAACTGGAGAAGACCGAGAGAAAAACTGGTACAGTTCCAACGTGGTGCGCGCCCCCTCCTCGCAAACGAATCTATGTTGAACTTGACCAGAGACTGCAGAGAAAGATCAGCTATCAAATGGACAGAAAAGCCCCCTTGAATTCCTTGATGCTGCTGGTCACATCATTAAGCTTGATTGACTGAAAGACATGATCAATGGAGAGGGACAAGTTTTTAATGTGCTATTGTAATGAGTGAGACATTTAATCAATATTTATTATTTTCTGACGCAGTGATGTGCTATTTTAATGAGTGAGTTAATCTTGTTTCAAAGCAAAGTATATATAAAATTGTTATCACTTATCAAGGGTTATTTCTCAGTCTCTCATAGTGGGAGAGTCCATTCATACTGAAGGTAATGGGAGCTCATTAGTGACACCCACTGGTGCATAACATTGTTTTGATAAGACTGTAGGCAAAGTGCACTCCAGGCGATAGTAGACCTAACCGGTTTATCGGGGTCGGGATTAACGAGTTATCACTGTAGACCTTTCTGAATAAAATACACAAAATAATGTTTTATTGCTTGATGAACTCTTTCTGAAAGTATTTGTTTTATTCAACCGCACGTGTCTTCACTCCTGAGCAGTGAAGCGGATGTCCCGACTCACACAGACACTCGACTGTTGTTAAATGGACCAGTATATCAATTTGATAAAGGTGAGGTGAAATTGGGTTTAACGTCGCGTCCAAGATTATTGCACTTATATAGATGTGTGTGTGTGTGTGTGTTTGTGTGGCTGCTTGTACTAGTCCGAACTGATGCCGATTTATAGTGCTAGCTCATTGAGATACCATGCCGCAGTTTAACATGAATACCCCACTGACTGACTCCGAGCCGACCAGTCCTTGTTTGAGCCCCTTAATGCCGAGCGCCAAACAGGATAACAACAAGTACCATCCTTTAACGTCTTTTGGTATGACGCGGCCGGGGATCGAACCCTGGACCTTCCGCTCTCCGGGCGGACGCTCTACCACAAGACCACGGCGGCGGTTCAATCTGATAAAATAAAACAATAACATGAAATATAGTGCTGACGTGTTCAAGTTTCTACGTCGGAGCACTGACATTGTTAGCAAACAGGTTCTCGACAAACAAGTCAATATATTCAGTACATTCTAAGAGAATGTCAATTTCGCATCATACAAAACTGATTTGTCAAGTAACTTTCATTATCAGGTCACCTCCTCCGATAAGGAAACTAAAACATCTCGTGATAGTCAATATCTCAGTTGGCCATATACAACCATAGCAAGACAGTAGGCACGCCCCGTAGTCTACCAATAAACATAATTGACCCTCTTACCCAAATTTATTAACATTATTTAGCCTTGTTCTCCCTGCCGCCAGCAGTGATGCATGCAGGGGGCCGCTGGTCTATTCCTGTCCAGCTCAACACGAGTCGTGTACATAACATCAGTGTAACGACATTCCCATACAACATACACATTGCACGTGTTGTCAATTTCACCCCAAAGCTTGTACAGTAAGAAGGGAGTCCGCGCTGGCCTGGTCTGACTCGCAGGCAGGAGGAATATGGTAAATATAGCATGGCCTTCTTATTTCAATCAACTAGTGCAGTTCGGCGAGATGTATTGATTTTGGTGGCATGTAAAAAGGCAACGTTTCGGAGCACGTATATGTCTCACAGATAGTCATGTAGAAGTGTAGTTGAAGCCGGAGATGGGTGTAATTCATCACAGTTTCTTACAATTGACGTCTCCAACAGGCTGCATTGATACCGATATAAATATACAACAGTAGTTGAGGGCCAACCATTTTTTGTCCTGGAGGCTGGGGTATCTTTGGAAACAATCTGCTCCCTAAAATCCCAGCATCCCACCTATTAGTGTGTCATACGATATGTGTTTGACAACCCATCTGTCAGTACATTATTACAATATGTGTTTGGCAACGAAGCTGTCAGTGTATTATTATTATGATATTATGATTGTTTGGCAATCCGCTTGTCAGTACAGTATTACGATATTTTTGGCAACCAAAATGTCAGTGTATTATTACGATATTTCTTTGGCAGCCAAGATGTCTGTGTATTAAGACGATATTTCTTTGGCAACCAAGATGTCAGTGTATTATTACGATATTTCTTTGGTAATCTGGATGTCAGTGTATTAAGACGATATATATCTTTGGCAGCCAAGATGTCTGTGTATTATTACGATTTTTTGTTTGGCAAACGAGATGTAGGTGTATTATTACAATATTTGTTTGGCAAACGAGATGTTAATGTATTATCACGATATTTGTTTGGCAACCAAAATGTCACTGTATTATTACAATATTTGTAGGGCAACCAAAATGTCAGTGTATAATTACATTATTTGTTTGGCAACCAAGATGTCAGTGTATTATTACGATATTTCTTTGGTAATCTGGATGTCAGTGTATTAAGACGATATTTGTTTGGCAAACGAGATGTAGGTGTATTATTACAATATTTGTTTGGCAAACGAGATGTTAATGTATTATCACGATATTTGTTTGGCAACCAAAATGTCACTGTATTATTACAATATTTGTTTGGCAACCAAGATGTCAGTGTATTATTACGATATAGGTTTGGCAAACGAGATGTCAATGTATTATCACGATATTTGTTTGGCAACCAAGATGTCAGTGTAATATTATGATATTTCTTTGGTAATCTGGATGTCAGTGTATTAAGACGATATTTTTGGAAACCAAAATGTCAGTGTATTATTACATTATTTGTTTGGCAATCAAAATGTCAGTGTATTATTACGATATAAGTTTGGCAAACGAGATGTCAATGTATTATCACGATATTTGTTTGGCAACCAAAATGTCACTGTATTATTACAATATTTTTTTGGCAACCAAAATGTCAGTGTATTATTACATTATTTGTTTGGCAACCAAGATGTCAGTGTATTATTACATTATTTGTTTGGCAACCAAGATGTCAGTGTATTATTACGATATTTCTTTGGTATTCTGGATGTATGTGTATTATTACGATATTTGTTTGGCAAACGAGATGTCAATGTATTATCACGATATTTGTTTGGCAACCAAAATGTCACTGTATTATTACAATATTTGTTTGACAACCAAAATGTCAGTATATCATTACGATAATTTGTTTGGGCAACCAAGCTGTCTGAAATAATACCGTATTTTTCAACGGTGTTTGTATGTTTGTCGCTGAAGGTATATATGCATATACTATATATCACTACATTATATATATTTCCGTGTCTGCATCACAGTTGAATCCTGATGTGAACTCTATTTAAGCTGGAACCAAACATACTGGCCAACAAATCCCACCAGCCTACTCTACTCCTTGAGCTGTTCCTCAACTCAGATGTGGCCGAGCTGTCTATTCAATTACTGTCTGTTGTTACGATTTTACTCAAATATTGAATAAATTTTGAATGCGTGAAATACTGAAAACACAACAAGATGATATAATTCAATAATTACATTCACAGAACCGATCAATACCAGTTACAATGTCACAATAGAGATCATAATACAGAACACTGCCAGTGACATCAAAAGTAATATTTGCACTTGGCCATTTTTTCGATCTGCGCCGCCGCATCTTGAATGACCTTGAGAGCTGATCGATACATTCTGCCAATACAATTAATCATTTGGCATAGAAAGTCAGGTGAGAATTAGGTCGTTATATTCAATACATACAAATCGTACGGTCTTTTGTAACGAATTGAGTTTTCAAACAAGGGACCGGAGTGAGTGAGTGAGTTTGGTTTAGCGCAGTATTGAACAGTATTCCAGTTACAGTAAACTACGGTTATAACGAACTCAAAGGGACCACTAATTTTAGTTCGTTATAACCGTAGTTCGTTATAAGCATATACACAGCATATATACATGTACATGAAATGGACCGGAGCAAAAAGCAGTTCGTTATATCCGCCAGTTTGTTATAAGCGCGTTCGTTATAAACGTAGTTTACTGTATATCACAAATGTTGGAGGAGCGCCCGAAGTCATGCAGATCTTAGACGTTTTTCCACCTTGGTGAAACCCCCGCAGAGGGGTATGGTGCTGACAAATCAAGGCTGTGGGATTCGAACTCACGCTCATATTGTCCTGGCAGCCTTTAGACGCGTTCCAATTCAGTCAAGAAGTATGAAGTAGGGGCACGGATGTCGTAGTGGTTCATGGCGGTGCTGTTCGCTGTACGTCTGGAGACGTTCAAACGGATTCATATACGTTAATCATTAACTCAACGAATCCAATGTCGATAACAGTTGTCTGGTCTGTGTAGAATTCAAGTTGTAATCCTTTCCCAGTATACCTACAGTAAAGCAAATTTCTCAAGTTCCGGACGGGGACATTTCGTTCACACCTCAGAACGCGCTGCAATGAAGCTCTTGTCTGTTTCGCGGTTATCCTTGCTATATAACGACAGTGATTGACAACATGAGCATCGATCCATGCAATTGGAATACGATGACATGCATCAACCAAGTCACCCGATCCCGTTAGTCGCCTTTTACGGCACGCATGTAGAGCTTTGTGACATGTCTTTAGCGAGCTAATTAATGTGCGTATATTTACGAAATAACAAGGCGGGACGTGCCATTTTGACCCCGATAATTATTGCAACACCCGGGGTTAACATTGGAAACCATCCTCAACAAGCCCCCGGGTTTGCTACTATTGCTGGAATATTGCTAAAGCGGCGTAAAACCATACTCATTCACTCACTTAAAATAAGATGTTTAAGGCGTAATTTCTTTCACTGAAGTAACTTTAGAAACTGCGTATGCGTGTTTGAGTGAAATGACAGCAGCCATATTTGTCTACCTGACACCCCCTTTGAAAAGCAGACATTGCATCGCTGTAAAAATAGTTCTTGATAGATTACCTCATTTGCATATTTTTCGTATCCTTTTCTTCGCAGAGCGTGGTTTCGATCCACGTACCTCTTGGTTATTATTAATTTACATTTTTTTTATTATTCCATTTCCCATCATATTTTATATGTCGTGAGTTTTGAGTGAGTGAGTTTGGTTTTATGCCGCTTTTAACAGTATTCCAGTTATATCCCGGCGTGTCAGCTTAATGTGGGAGGAAAGCTCCAAGTGATGCAGGTCTCAGACGTTTACCACTTCGGTGAAACCAACGAGCACAGGTATGGTGCTGACAAACTCTGCACAGCGAATCGCGGCGCCTTAGAAGACTGGGCCACCCGTGCCCCCTATTTTATATGTCAATGTCATACATAGAGTATGCATGGATTTATTGTGACATTATTGGCATGTTTGTATAACATAGTTTCTTCGTATCATGACACTAAGTTTATCGCATCGATAACACTATTAAATATTCTGTGCAGTTCATAGATATTTTGGTGATGTTATATTTTTATTCATTGACCCAAAGCATTGAAATGGAATTTGACCTTCCTAAACATGTGCACACAAAACTTGAACTGGGAAGGACTTGTTTGATTTGGTGTGAAATACGCCTCTTTCTTCATTACATATGTTTCATGTAGACATGTGTGTTCTGTTTTTTATCCTGGCATCATTTCCAGATCTGTTTCAGTCACTGACATTTCTGGTCGATGGGGTTTTGGCTAAAGTGTTTGCTCGTCATGCTGAAGAACCGGCTTCGATACCTTTCTATAACAACGAGTGAAGACCATTATTTGGGCCCTGCCCATGGATAGGACTAAAATGATGTTATAGCGGCCTAAACATCAACTCACTCTTTAAAGCACATAATCATGGGCCCTTTTACCTGACCTGATGTAGTTGCTTATCAAAATTGCTTGTTGCATGTTTGTTTGTTGTTTGACGCTGCACTCAGCAATAATCCAGCTATATGACGTCGGTCTGTAATTAATCGAGTAAGCCAGGGATTGACATCATGAGCATCGATCTACGCAACTGCGACACGATGATAGGCATCAACAAAATCAGCGAGCCTGACCACCTAATCCCGTTAGTCTTCTGACAAGCATGGGTTGCTGAAGACCAACTTTAACTCGGGCTTATCAACTTGGAATAGAGTTAAAACGCTCAACTGAATATAATTATCACTTAATTTACCCACGAGTCGAGCGTGGTGGATTCATCGATTGTGATGCATTTATCCACAGAGCTCCAGATAAGCTTTTGGTGTTGTGGGTATTTTACCCATGTATTTTAAAATCATTGGGTATCAGTAATTCTATCTGGGTATTCAAATTTCTGTTACCCACTAGTTTTTAACACATGTGGGTATTTAAGTTAAATATTTAAACACTATTCATCTAGTCCCTGCAAACTGGTGTCGTGTGGGTTCGAGAGCTTCACAGGACTCAAAAATACCACGATACTTCCACAAGAAAGTGTGATGGCAAATGATCATGATGTAACTGTCATCGTGGAGTTTGGCAAGGTTGACGGAATGCCCGTTTATAATTTCAAAATAAGTTGCTGATTTGCTAATCGAATACGCAGGGTTACTTCACAATATTTTGATGATACGCACAAGTTTTATTTTTGTAGTGTATCTGTAATGTTCGTTGCGTATTTGATACGCTTGGATTTTATTTTAATGCGTCTTTCTGCATTTCTGATGAGTATTTCACACAGATACGCAGCTTATCTGGAGCTCTGTATCCATATCGGTTTGTTTTCAGGTCGCTGTCAACTCTCACCTGACATCATGACCACCCGGAAGAAGGGCCACGAGCGGTCAAGTCGATATGGTCTTCCGCTACCGGAAGTGTGCCATCTTACTCTGGACAAGACAACGATTCAGGATCGAGCTGTCTTTATAATCGGCGACGTCCATGGTTGCTACGATGAGCTCAGAGAGTTGATGGACAAAGCTCGGACGTTAGAGGACACAGTGTTGTTTGTGTTTGTTGGGGATCTAGTAAACAGGGGCCCCAAGTCTAAGGAGGTGGTCAAAATTCTCCGAAGAACAGACTGCTACTCCGTCCGGGGAAATCACGAGGAGACAACTCTGCGTGAATATGCCCGGCTTTTAAAAGATCCCGGATACGATTTACCGGAACGATACCAATACATCCGGAAATTTGATGAAGGGGATTTAGATTTTTTACGACGTCTTCCGTACACTATATGCATTCCTTCTTTACAGGCGATTATTGTCCATGCGGGTCTTGAACCAGGGTTTGTTCTCGAGGAACAGTGTTTGACGGCCATGACCCATATGAGGAGTTTGGTTCAGGGAGGGGATATCGACCCTACCCTTACCCCATCGAACAAGATCTCCGAGGGAGTGCCGTGGGCTTCGTTGTGGAAGGGACCAGGACATGTATATTATGGTCATGATAAGAAGAGGGGCTACGTGGAATATGAGTTCGCAACGGGTTTAGACACAGGGTGTGTGAATGGTGAACACCTGACCGGTATGTTTATTAATGGATGTTGTAAAACATTGACTGTACCTGCCCGGAAACAATATTGGGTGGACACGCCGTAAATGTGGGCTAGGGTGGATACCGATTTGTGATGGTAGGGGTGTGACCTGGCTGGAGAGAGTTTGGGGTCGTGTGGACGGTATGTGGCTGTCATACTATCAGAGTAGTAGCATACGATACTAAACGTGGCAGGTGGGATAATACTACCATATCAGAGGGGTAGGGTGTGACGTTTATTGGGAAGAGGTGGGTCAGGGGTAGGGTGTGACGTTTATTAGGAAGAGGTGGGTCAGGGGTCGGGGCACTATCGTTGAGGGGTAGGGTGTGAAGTTTATTGGGAAGAGGTGGGTCAGGGGTAGGGTGTGTCGTTTATTGGGAAGTGGTGGGTCGGGGATCTGGGCACATCGTTGAGGGGTAGGGTGTGACGTTTATTGGGGAGAGGTGGGTCAGGGGTAGGGTGTGACGTTTATTGGGAAGAGGTGGGTCAGGGGTAGGGTGTGACGTTTATTGGGAAGAGGTGGGTCAGGGGTAGGGTGTGACGTTTATTTGGAAGAGGTGGGTCGGGGATCTGGGCACATCGTTGAGGGGAAGGGTGTGACGTTTATTGCGAAGAGGTTGGTCAGGGGTCGGGGCACTATCGTTGAGGGGTAGGGTGTGACGTTTATTGGGAAGAGGTGGGTCAGGGGTAGGGTGTGACGTTTATTGGGGAGAAGTGGGTCAGGGGTCGCGGCACTATCGTTGAGGGGTAGGGTGTGACGTTTATTGGGGAGAGTTTGGTCAGGGGTCGGGGCACTATCGTTGAGGGGTAGGGTGTGACGTTTATTGGGGAGAGTTTGGTCAGGGGTCGGGGCACTATCGTTGAGGGGTAGGGTGTGACGTTTATTGGGGAGAAGTGGGTCAGGGGTCGCGGCACTATCGTTGAGGGGTAGGGTGTGACGTTTATTGGGAAGAGGTAGGTCAGGGGTCGGGGCACTATCGTTGAGGGGTAGGGTGTGACGTTTATTGGGAAGAGGTGGGTCAGGGGTAGGGTGTGACGTTTATTGGGAAGAGGTAGGTCAGGGGTCGGGGCACTATCGTTGAGGGGTAGGGTGTGACGTTTATTGGGGAGAGTTTGGTCAGGGGTCGGGGCACTATCGTTGAGGGGTAGGGTGTGACGTTTATTGGGAAGAGGTGGGTCTGGGGTAGGGTGTGACGTTTATTGGGAAGAGGTAGGTCAGGGGTCGGGGCACTATCGTTGAGGGGTAGGGTGTGACGTTTATTGGGGAGAGTTTGGTCAGGGGTCGGGGCACTATCGTTGAGGGGTAGGGTGTGACGTTTATTGGGAAGAGGTGGGTCAGGGGTCGCGGCACTATCGTTGAGGGGTAGGGTGTGACGTTTATTGGGAAGAGTTTGGTCAGGGGTCGGGGCACTATCGTTGAGGGGTAGGGTGTGATGTTTTTTTTGGAAGAGGTGGGTCAGGAATGGGGTCACTTTTGTTGAGGGGGAGGATGTGACGTTTATTGGGAATGTTGGGTCGGGGGTAGGGTCACTTTTATTGAGGGGTAGATTAAGACGTTTATTGGGAAGGGGTGGGTCAGGGGTTTGGTCACCTTTGTTGGGGGGGGGGGGGGGGGATGTGACGTTTATTGGGAAGAGTTGGGTCGGGGGGGGGGGTCACTTTTGTTGAGGAGTAGGATGTGATATTTCTGGAATGTTGCTTACCACGGCGTAAACCTTACTGACCCATTACGGTTAGGATGGAGATATGTATTTAACTGACCACAACTGGCTGGAATTGTACTTCCCCTCTAGATATGTGTTACCTTGGTCAGCATGGAGGGTGCTAGTGCTACGTTTTACTCCAGCGGGCGGTTTGTAAACATGTCAGAGTAATATCTACTAGGGCTGGGACGAGTCCAAATTTACTACCCGCTATTACCCGACCCTACCCGGGAACCCGCTACAGGTCTCAAGAGTTTGGTGCAAAATGTCCGATTGGAAATAGTTTGAGCGTAGCCCTGGTAAAATGTATTTAAATATTTGTATAAAACGATCTGGTCATGCATACTCTGAAGATGATTAAAGTTTAATTTTATTCAAAACTATAAAGGTCAGAAGCAATGGTGCATAGTCAGAAAGAAATGCGAACATTAGTGACTTGTAGTGTAACCATAGAGTTCTGGATATTTTTTATGATTAAACAATATATCACGTAACTAACCACGGGTCCGGGTAGTCCTGTGGGTACCCAGGTCCTACATTGGCCACCCGACCCGAGTACCCGAGTCACCCGTCCCAGCCCTAATATCTACCATCTAAAGGAAGTATGTCACAGATGTGAACATGAGCAGGCGGTTAGTAGACATGTGATTGGTAAATATACTTTATATATATTTGAATTATGACACAGCTGCGTAAACCAACCACGGCTCTAGATGAAATCATATACTAGTATATGTAGTATACTAGTCTTGTCATATTTCCACTGTCCATGTATGTAGTGCATACATATTATGCATGCAAATACAATGTTTATTAACAAATATTCACAACGAGTTTTTACAAGAAAGTTGTTTTTTATTGTTATTCGTTATATTTGTTCAGAAACGTTAGTATATTAGGTTATTGTCCAGCAATGTCTTCCACTTTTTTTAGTTCAGCCAAGAATATCAAAATGTGAAAAAAATTCCACTCAGGGTCTGTGTTTCACATGACCGATATATGCATCAGGTTAAACAGTTATGGAAAATTCCTCATCAGTCACAATGGTACCGCATCCGTCTAACTGTGCCACCCGATGAAATATCATTTCAAAGAGAAGGTGCTCCGTGGTTTATTGGTTTGAAATGTATTCTACCTTCAGCATTCATTAAACAATCAAGACAATTTTATTTAAAAAAACATTCAGCAAATATGTGAAAAGTTAACTTGACACACGAGTTTGGAAGACAGAAAGAAGAGAAAAACACGCTTCATATTGAGGTTGAGTCAAAACTCTAACGTCTCTATAAAAAAAACCCACACGCGATGAAACTTTCCTTTTCATAAACCCAGAGGTTTTGACGCAAGCCTCAATACAGTAACTCGTTGAAAAAGAAATTTACATGTGACAAAACATTTTGTGATATTTACAGCTGACCTATTGTTTCTAATAGCATTCTTGGCCGCTGTTGTTTAATATGCAATACTTTATTAAATATATTGTTTTGTTATTTTACAACTCAAATATACTGTAGACTTGTAGATTTTACAATGCATGTGCATCATCGAATACAGCATGTCGATGGAAAGAAGATTTGTTACCCCAAAGATCATTTGCATCGTTGATTTCCCATTGTATTACATTGTTATGATAAATACCCTGGACCCATTCGAACCTTTAGGTGCGCTTCCTCCAATATTTTCCCGTCGTAATGCAGACTGAGCAAAGGTTTCTGTTATATTATGTGATGATATAAATTACGTATTTATTTGAATTGACATAAAACAACGGCAAATAAAAGTGTATCAAACATGTTTATTTCAGGGTTGTTATATCCATGTACGTGCACATATACCAATATCTAAACAACAAACAATACTTACTTATATAGACCGCCTATATGGTCTAATGGTAGAGCGTTCGCCCGGAGAGCGGAAGGTCCGGGGTTCGATCCCCGACAGCGTCATACCAAAAGACGTTAAAAGATGGTACTTGTTACCCTGTCTGGCGCACGGCATTAAGGGGCTAAAACAAGGACTGGTCGGCTCGGAGTCAGTATACTGTGTCTGAGGTGGGGTATTCATGTTAAACTGCGGCATGGTATCTCAGTGAGCTAGCACTATAAATCGGCATCAGTCCGGACTAGTACAAGCAGCCACACACATACATACACGTGCATGCACGTCGCTATATAAGTGCAATAATCTTGGACGCGACGTTAAACCCCATTTCACCTCACCTCACCTCACTTACAACTTCATGTTCCACAACGACTATATAACATTGTCAACAGGGACCCATGGAGAGGGTTAGAATAGGCCCCAGCAATCTGTGCTCGTCGTAAGAGGTGACTCGGAAGGTTAGGCTCCCTGACTTGTTGACTGCATGTCATCGTTTCCCGACGGGATTGCGAGGTCCAGTGGCCGCAAAGCGATTTTAGCGCTCTGACTCTCGGAGTGAGTGAGTGAGTGAGTGAGTGAGTGAGTTGGGTTTAACGCCGCTTTTAACAGTATTCCAGTTATATCGCGGCGTGTCAGCTTAATGTGGGAGGAAAGCCCGAAGTGATGCAGGTCTCAGACGTTTACCACTTCGGTGAAACCCACGAGCACGGGTATGGTGCTGACAAACCTAGAAACATAATCGGGGCGAACCGGGATTCGAACCCACAATCATAGGTTTCTGGCGTGCCCAAGGGACGCAACTCTGCACAGCGAATCGCGGCGCCTTAGACGACTGGGCCAACCGTGCCCCCTCTGACTCTCGGAAGTCTACGTTATAGATAGAAGTTATGTAGTCAGTGGCCATAAGGTCGCTTTGTGTGCAGGAACTTCACCCAGTTACGTGCACGCTGAATCACATATACAGCTGGAATATTGCCAGACGCAGCGCGAAACAAACTGTTGAGGATATTGATTCTAGGTGCACAATTGGTTTAAGAAAAAAAGGTTTCCTGCAGAAAGCGAATCACTTCATGGGATTATATAACGTGTTTCAATCATATCTAAAATTATCATCATTGTGCAAGCATGGACACTTAACCTATATTTAGGGTCCATGGTGCGAGTGAGCCAATGAACGTTTACGTGAGTAGATTTATAAATACCGCAAACGAAACCGAACAGGTAGTGGGTGTTGTCATTTCTATATCCTGTGACGTATAAGGAAGTACTTTAATAGCCTCGTATCAAATACCTCCACACGGCCAGGCATTTCAAACCATGTACCGTCACAAACATACAGGTCCCCACCAAAAGGTGTTCACTCCCCCGGGGGACCAACGGAGAAAGGTGGACGGGTCATCGGACGGTCCGTACAGTGCCATTGCTCACCTGACCATTCACTTGGGGTCCAACAAATATGTCGGGACCGGGTTTCTGTTTAAGAGGGAGGCGATCGGGAAGGAACGCTTCGTTGTGTTGACTGCCGGACACAATCTATACGATCACAACTTTAAACGTCATGCCGATGCGGTCGTCGTTCGTTTCGGTCGAAATGGGACTTTCAATACAGGAGAGATCATCAAGTATGCAGACGCTTTCAGGGTACCGTCTCGGTCCATTCAGGACCACGAAGAAGAGTACGATTTTGGAATGATCCTGTTGGATATTTCGACTGACCCTATTCCTCACGAATATGCATTCGAGCCAATGGTGTATGCTGACGATGACTCCGTCTTTGCCCAGGTCTTCATGAGTGGGTATCCACGTCGACCCAGAGACGGGAAGGACGGCATGCCAGGTTTTCCCCGCGGCACCCAGTGGGAACTGGAGGTCAACTTGGAGGAGATGACCGATTACCACTTTCTATACAAGGACGCAACCACTCCTGGGAACAGCGGCTCTCCCGTCTATTGGAAAATACCGATTCTCAACAAATATGTCGCCTTGGGGATCCATGTCACAGGAGGAGATTTCACGGGGTGAGTAACGAGAATATTTCAAGGTTCGTCAGCACCCGTGGGTTTCACCAAACATACACAATTCCTGTAAAGCAAGATCATATAGATGCTATTGTCACGGAATCACATATTTAGATTGGTTCTATGTGCAACTGTTATTCAGTACGTCTAGTCACAAACTTCCTATTGCAAAAGGACGTTGGTATAACCAATAGCATACAACACGTATTCAACTGATTTGTCTCCTTTGCACATGGTTGAGATGAGATAAAGACCTGGAGAGAATTTGTCTGCCATTCACAACCATATTTCTGCATCATCTCAAAACTGAAGTGAATTTTAGAATATGATACAAAGTAAAATGCTCAGAGGAGCACCCACAAACTTAATGTCAAATGACCCCAAAGTCTCTTAAATTGTCAACAGATTGGTCTGTGTATGTGTGTGGTAGTGTTTGTGTGGCTTGAGTGTGTATGTGTGGTGTGTATGTGTGTGTAAGTGTGTTTGCGTGCGTGCGTGCGTGCGTGCGTGTGTTTGTGTGTGTGTGTGTGTGTGTGTGTGTGTGTGTGTGTGTGTGTGTGTGTGTGTGTGTGTGTGTGTCTGGTGTGTATATGTGTATACGTGTGTGTCAGTGTATGTGTGTGCTTGTTTGGGTGTTCTGTGTATGCATATGTGTGTGTAAGTATGTGGGTACATATGTGTATGTATGTATGCATCTGTGTGAGTCTGTGTGTGTATGTGTTAATAATTAAATTTTCGTTGTGTCCATTGATATTCCTGCATTCTGATTAGCTGAATTGGTCACGTGTTATTGCATTCATTTCCCAACGAATGTAAAAAACTAAGCCACGCCACCGAGACGGACTACTTTTGTTACTACGGAATGTAGGGGAATCCCAAAATAACATTCAAGGGAATTCCCTTTCTGCTTAAGAGTATCAATAGTCATGCACGGGACATTTAGCGAAATTCACGCATATTCATTATCCAAACAACCCTTTGAGACCGAAGGCCGTGAAGGAATGAAACAGCAAACGTGAAGGCTCGCTCGCCTGTTTTTCCCCGCTCGACTCGGTTCCACAACTTTCATGTCTTCGGGTGTCATTTCTAACTAGAGATCCAGCATTTTTCCAACTGAGTCATTCCGTTCTCAGGGAACTAATGTTTGAATCTGGCGCCTTCTCCCGCACATATTTATTCCGGTTCGTTTCAGTCTGACTGTTGCATTTCTTCTCGCCTCTTGCCTTGATTGATTGGGGGCACGGGTGGCCCAGTCGTCTAAGGCGCCGCGATTCGCTGTGCAGAGTTGCGTCCCTTGGGCGCGCCAGAAACCTATGATTGTGGGTTCGAATCCCGGTTCGCCCCGATTATGTTTCTTGATTTGTCAGCACCATACCCGTGCTCGTGGGTTTCACCGAAGTGGTAAACGTCTTGGACCTGAATTACTTCGGGCTTTCCTCCCACATTAAGCTGACACGTCGTGATATAACTGGAATACTGTTAAAAGCGGCGTTAAACCCAACTCACTCACTCACTCTTGCCTTGATTGACAGGTCTTATCAACATTGTTTTGTTCCTACTCTCCGTTGATTGGCTGCTTACTTTGTAGGCGTGTCAAGTTGTGCGCATAAATTAAACAATCACCTGATTCATTTCACGCTAGAGTATGTATTCCTACACCTGGAATGTTTATCAATGTCGTCATTTTTGTCGGCTTTGATATATAAACCTGTTTTTGGTTAAACTATTGCAGATAAAACATGTTTTCGTTGTCGAATTTAAATATAAGCATTGACTGTGTATATTTTTCGGTTCATTGAGGTATGTAAATGTGTAAACTTTTGTGGGAATTGGCTACGCGGATTCATACAGTTTGCACATCGGTATTTCGATTCATATCTCAATGAACCGAGAAACATACACAGTCAATCCTTAAATACATTGGAAATTCATATCTGCAGATTCAATGCGGCCACACGTATCACCATGGAAACCTTGACTGAATACATCGACGTCTGGCTTGATTTCGACGACGACGACTGGGTCTACTACCCCTGGGTTGACACCTCTTGGCTCGACGTGGACGACAGTGAGCGACGCAAGACATGGGAGAAAGGGCTGCCTCCAAATGAACTTGCGTCAAGGGCGGAGCGCTTGGGGTGTCCGGCCTTTAACACGGGTGGGGCCATAAAAACACACGTCATGCCCAAAGCGGAATGGTTCAACCTGTTTAGTTACGATTCTGGTCTCCTAGATTCTCCTAGAAGTTATGGAATGTGGATCAGGTGGAGTCATGCAAAATGTATGCAGTGAGTCTAAGGCCTTGACCTCAACGAAAAATTTGACCTTTGGTAGATCACTACAAAAACATATATCACCTGGATGTTTCAAAGATTTGAAAGATGTTTCAATTTTTTCAACTGCTTGGCATCGAAGTTAATGCATTATTCTTTATATTTCACCTGGGCGTTATACCCTCTTCGTTGTTCTAAAAACGATTTTTTTCAAATTCAGATTACCATAGCTTCAGCATTCAAATCTATTTTAGTCAAGGTTTATATCGTTGAACATAGCAATTTGTTCCTTATCCGATAACAAGTATTCCTTTTAGTTGAGACAACATTGAGGTAGCGATTCCCACGAACACATTATCACTTTGTTGCAATCCATCACAACCCTTTGAATTTGAGATTGATGCCACAGAGGTAGCCGGTATGGCGAACCTGCAGGCGATGATTTTTGGGATATGATACCTGGAGATTTATATTATCAATACTCGTTAGTATCAAAACTGGTCGCCTAGTCATGCTGACAAAGTTGAATATGAATGTGAATATTATTAATAGTTAAAAAGCATGTGACATTTTAGAGTAGTCCTGGTGGGGCCTTAGGTGAGCAGTTCGTGACTCACATATATGAACACAGAGCAATCATCACGTTGTGGAACTGGACCACGTTCACTATTAAAGTAAGAGGGTCCTTTGCGGCCCAAGGATCTGTTTATTTGAGAAGTTCGCAAAACCATCGTGACGAAAATGATCAAATGTGTTTCAATAAAAGAGAATCGAACTTGCATGGGTTTTTTTACGAGCTCATAGTAATATTTTCTCTTAACGTTCAGTTTGCTTTTACTAATGTTATCCATTCGAATGAACGTGATCATGTCAGAAGAAAACATATTCCGAAGTGTTCAGCAATTTGAACATGTCTGATAATTTTCATACCAATATTTAATGATTTCCGTAACTTAAATATCCGTCATTTTCATTTGGCCAAAGTTATCCCTCCATTATCCTACCTCCTGCTTTCAAAAGAGTGCATGTTCCCTCACAAATGATAATGGTAAGATTAGCATTGGCAACATATTAGTATTATCTTCTTGTTTATTATTTTCTTTGTTGTTTTTATTTACATTATGAATTCAAACCTCATCCATGTTTTTACACTGAAACGTATTATATATTATACAAAATTGTTTTGTGCGTTATTTTCTTCCATATATAACCCCATTTACTTGATTACTGTTTTCATCTAAATTATCAATTCAAACCTCATCCATATCTTTACATTGAAAAGCATTATATAAAACAGCAACATTGTTTTGTGTGCTGTGTTCTTCCATATATAACCCCATTTGCTTTTGTTTTTGAGGTCGGGCTGTGCTAATTACTTGATTTTTTGTGTCTTAGTTTGTGTTACACTACAGGTAACTCATGTTCGCATTTCCTTCTGACTATAATATGTTTGAATAAACAAAAAACTTTTGTCGACTTCAGTGTTCGCATGACCAGATCGTTTAATACGTGTATCTAAATACATTTTGCCAGGGGTATGGTCAGACTAGATATTCATGTGATAAATTACTTTGGAAAAACTCTTTTGGAAATGTGTTCAATTCTGAACATACATATTGTGAATGGAAGATTTGGAACTGACTATCAAATCGGTGACTGAACTTTTTTTGGGCATTTATCTATTTGAGGGTGTAGTGTGATAGATTATGGTTTAGTATCGAGTGACATGTTCCCCGATAATGATGAATGTCTCTGTAAAAAACATGGACGGTGCCATTATGTAAATGCGTTCAGGAGAAACTAGAGCTAACTCCTACCTTTTAAAGTAAAACAAAGTTTGCAATGAATACAGATAACTGTGTGGAATCAAGAAGGACCAGTTTGCATAATGTAAAAGGAGTGACCTAGAAAATGCAGCAGCGGTAGACTGTCCTTTCTGGGACATCATAAAGCGTGTGTCTAGACGACCGCAACGACCCACCCCTATTGATATACAACACTGGGGGACTCGTCGCTGAATTCTGAACCAATGGATATTCAGGAAAATCTTGGTGAGGTGGAGGACATAGTGACAGGTCATGGTTATGTGCAAGAACTGACAATTGACATATTAGAATCCACAATCACCAGATCCGAACTTTTTGAAAGCATCAGTGCTTGACAACATAATAAATCAGCTGGCTTGACGACATCTATGGAAGCCATTGTACAAACATGGTTTGTGTACTAAAATGGGTAAAATGTGACAATCCTTGTACAGTTATGTAAAGGCTTGTGTTCGTTCAAACAACAGAGTATCTGGTATATTTGTTGCTTTGTGGTTGTACGGCAAGGGTGTATGCTTTATGCTTTTGTTTCAGATTTTTCATAAACGAATTGGTTACAAAATGGAACATAATTGTCGTTTTGGTGTTACGTTACATCCGGAATTTATTTATATTTTTCTACTTCTATTTGCGGGAGACCTTATTGTGTTTGGCAATACTGTCAACAACGTACAAATGGAGCTGAATATCTTGCATGATGACTATTGTTAATGGGTAATACCAGTCAATCTATAGTTGTTTTTTAAAAATAGAGGAGGTTTAACTTTATGAAAAAATGGTATTATGATGGAAATGCTTATGAAATAATTACTGGATACAGTTATCTTGCCTGTATTTTAGCAATAGATTACTGAGGTCGAATGCTTAAATAATATTCCAAATGAGGCAAGAAAGGTGTTCATGGTCCTGTTAATTAGTATACATTCCTTGAAACCATACTCGCCTCACTTTTACCTAAACTGGTCGTTATTTACAGGTTTTATTTATGGGTCATAACTGACGATTGTGTTAAATCTTGGTACAAAGGTGTATCTAGGGACACTATACAATATATGAAAACAGAAAGGGCATCTGCAGAGCTTATTAATCGATATTCAGAGATTTCGTTCAAATTTGGTATTTAGATACAACGTATTTCAGGACTCAACCGAATAGGTTTTCTTACCATCATGGCAATATAACCGCGGCATCTGATTGGTCGAAATTTAGTTGTTCGATTTTGTTGAAAGGGATATTTAGATATATTTTTGCACACAAAGCACATATTATTACAATACAAACGGAATGGAGTCCTCTGATTGGTCGAAATTTGGATAGTTAACCCTATTTAAGACTATTTTACCATACTAATAAGTGCTCTTTATGAAACTAGGTGTGGATGATCAGCACAACATACAGTAATATAACCTCATTCAGAAATCCAAGATGGTCTCACAGTCGCCATTTTGTAATTTACAGGTCTCAAACATCTAAATGAGTAAATATCTATTTATGAATTCCTTTTGAAAACTCTCGTGAATATCATTTCATCAGATTATTAGTTCATTGTAGCCCCGCAACGAAGTTAGGGGGTATAATGGAATCAGCGTGTCATCCCGTCTGTCGGTCTGTCCGCAGAAAATAACTTTCTGATCAATTCCTTCCAAATGTGAAATCTATTCACAATCCAATACGTTTTATTCATAAAATATGTCGAAAGACAGCATTTACAGTTCACCTGGTAAGAAGTTCCATGGTGAGCTTATGTTAGCTCCCCCAGAAGATCGAATGGTCAGTTCCTAAATGACATGAAATACTCTACAGGCCGTATGCATAATGTTCTTTTACGCTATTTTCAATCAACAGTGGTCTTACTTCAGGATATGCAAAACTGCTATAGAAAAGGTACAGACTTCATATCCGAAAAATATAAACTTTAAGTGGCTATATTTGACTCGGCATGGAACTTGGGATATCTACAGGTTTTTTTTTAACCAAACATCATTTCATTGGAATTCCTGTGGTTTGTCATAGCATATGATTCTGGTGTATGCTTAACTGTCACTAATACTGCAATAAAATGCAGTATGCCTAAAGCTCTGTTAATGGACCATTCTTACAACCCACCATCATCTACAACTTGGTCTGATCTGCTAGGGCTGAGTCCTCCTTTCCGTCGTTACGGTGTTAGGATAGTAACGAGGTTACCTTGCAGAGCATCGAAAAATAGCCTTTGAAAAACAGTAAGTTTGATAAAAATCGGTTAAAAGGGTTCGAGGTCATAAACCCTTTTATGAAGCCTGAATATAACAACCAGGTGGTTGTTGTAGAGAGAGAATCTAAAAATGATTAGTCATTTGCACATCTAGACAAAGTAACGATCAATTAAAACTGCGAAGTTTCATGAAAGTTCGATAAGTATTATCCTATAGTGATAACCCTAAACGTAAAAAAATATCATCTATCACTTCAACCCTTAATGTAAAAAGCTTTAGATTAAGAGTATTTTTTACATTAAGAGTTGTAACAAGAGTTAACCCGCAACCCTCAATGCAATTTATTTTTACATTAGGAGTATTTTTTACATTAAGGGTTGTAACATAGCATGCCTATTGTGAAACACCTCTTGTCCTTGAAAACATTTGAAATCAATAGGAGAGAATGTAACAACAAGACACTCGTATGTTGGCAGCAGAGAAAGAACATTTTGAGGTTTATAATCTTCTTGTAGATCCATCACCCCTCTATATAAACTGTAAAACGAATCTTTATTTCCTCTAATACACGCTGGGTCTCTAATACCAGCCAGGACTCTAATACACGCCGAGTCAAGGGCTCTCGCGAAATTGATAGACGGTGTAGCGTCAAATAGAGGAAATACGGTAGTTTTGGATGTTTGGGGCGTTCTAGGCGGCAACCCTGACTGCTTCGATGATGACATTAAAAGATTTAAGGAAGGCATATGTTTATGAAACTGTTAGAGAAATGTTCTATGGTGACCAGCTAAGCTATTTCCTCATTGAAACAACCGACAATGAAAGTAAAACATAACATTATAAAAAATTGATTGAAAAATCTTTATTCATGACAACCTGTTGTTTACAAACCTCTTTCTGATCGATATTCGTTGCAATCTCCGTCAACCACCACCGTTAGAATTTGGCAGGAGGGGATTTGAAAGTCCATCAGAAAACACTCCCCTTCGAAAGTCCACGAAAACAATGTCCCAAATGAAGTGACAGCTTATCAAACTTGAAATTCATTTCAGAACACGCACATTTAAGAAAATCATACATTATCAACTATTTCTGGGACACAAATGTCTAAGTTCTGTCACTATTTGGCTTTGGATCCGTGAAATCTTGAAATTAATAGGTCACACCATGCAGATTCCTCGTTTCAAGATATCCGGCTCGTCTGCAGCCTCAAAAGCGGCTGTTCAGTCATACTCAGTCACATTGGTAAACATATGGATGTACCAGCAGGCTCGATCAATCCCAGATAATCTACATGTTAATGTTGAACCACACCATAGATCGGGGTTGTCATCTTGCTTCATTCTATAACTGGTTACGGAGAATGTAAACACAAGATTGTCAGCCATTGACAGCTGTAAGGTGTGAGTAACCGTGATGTAGGTCAAGTTCTGCCACATCCAAGTTCGGGGTGGAGAGGCATTTAATTTGATTTTATTATTGTTCACTAGGGGTAATTGCTAACTAACAAATTACACTTACACATGTTAAATGTATAATAGAATGTTAATTCATAAAGTTTGCTGTAGAAATATATTCGTTTAGTATTTTAAAACCTTTTTCTATTACCCGTCACCCCTACGATAGAAATGATGGCATGTTCAATTTCCAAGAAATGACCTCTCTCACAAAATTCCGAGAAATGACAGTCAGTCCACAGTGTACAACAGTGTACAACAGTTTGGTAGAAATTAAAACATCTCTCTTTGGACTAAGTTTGGAGTGTTATATGTCAACTTGTTTTGAAAAACTGTGTTTTGAACACTTATTATGAACTACTCACGACTATGGTGTTTTTAATCTTGAACTTAAGTTATAATTGTTACATATATAACTACCTGTGACCACTTTTCGGAATGTTCTAAGATTGCGGACCTGTGCACCTGTGTTATTACGCGTTGCAAGAGAGCTCCGTTTTTAAAGCGTTGTTGCCGTCAGGGTAGTATGGAGAAAAACCTAGTGTTTTGAAATTTGATGTAGTCCCACTGTAGAATAGATACATCTTTATTATAATTTTGAACCAAGCGCTTCAGCTTTAGAGGTATCTATTCTACAGTGGGACTACATCAAATTTCAAAACACAGTAGGTTTATCTCCTAATTAATAGATGTAGGTAAATAAAGAGTACTTGAGTTCACATGCTCTAATAGTTGGGAAGGTAAGATAGCCCAAACTAAACATAGTCTTGGTAAATCGTTACGTCCTTTTGGCACTGAAGACATAGAAGATGAGTATCATGTTTTTATGGTGTGTCCTAAATATTTAACGGTCAGGCGTCGTTGTCGACCTGTTTGCATATACACGTATCCAAACATGTTGAAATTTTTAAACCTTTTGCCGGATGGATCTAAAGAAATTGTTTACAAACTAGCTCATATTTAGGAAATTTGGTTATTATCTAAAATGTCAATGAAAATTTTGTCTACCACCAGTATGGGGTAAATGATTTTGGATGGAGGAAGACTGATGGCCGTCTGTTATACCTACACAGGTTCATGTACAGTTATAATGTACTTGCATTTTGGTCTTTGGCCTATGTGAGAAATAAATCACATTCACATGCACGGATTGAAAAGAGTGTTGTTTTAACGTTGTGTCAGACAAAGACGTTTCACCATAGAAGAAAGGTTTTGATTAACAGTGACACAAAGACAGATTTTGTACAAAACGAGAAGACCACAGCACGCCGCCGCAACGATGGATTAAACTTGGGATGACGTTAGCGGAATCCTTTGCCATTTGTCCAAAACAGTTTTTCCTATGCACTGACGGTTGACTCGTGGTACTGGTCGCCCTCTGATTTGTCTGTCAAGATGATTACATAAACGTTTGATGGGGTATCATATCAAGAGGACATGCTGGTCATTGCAACACAGAAATGTTCATGTTGTTCAGGAAGTCTTGCGGTATTCTTGCTGTATGGGATCTCGCGTTGTCTTGCGGAAAGAGAATTCTGCGTTGCTGTTGTTGCGGAAATGGCAGAATAAAGGGACACAAAACGTCATCTCGATACCACTGGGCAATCAGGTTGACTCGTTTGAAAGTCCCTACAGATTCCTCCCCAGGCCATGACACCACCTCTTCCTTACGTTTGGACTTGCTGGACGCAATTCTACATCGAAGAAAAACACTTGTCACACTTGCCAACGGCGAACCCTGCTGGCTCATCTCAATCTCTCACGTCAGTGTTGACGCGATAACTTCCCACCACCGTAGTGTTGTCTTGCTCGGATGCCATGGTCCCTTAACTGTCTGTCTGTCTACAGATACGATGTACGAAGAACAAGAAAAAGAAGAAGAAGAAGAAGAATATGTTTATTTCTCAAGGTGGTGACAAGTCGACAAGAAAAATATACATATGCTCAGTTATGAGACAATAACTAGTGGAGCATACACAGTCCACATTTATTATACTGAGCAAATCGTTAGAGAATAGTTTTATAAGACCATGTCATAAGTGAAATATTCTTTTCAGTGTTGTGATATTAATATTAATATCGTGGAAAATATTTATTTCTCAGTGATCCAATTCACTGCATTCTGATATAAAATGAAATTCATCACCAACCTAAATTTATAAAAGTGAGCAAATCCTATCTTCCTTATTGATATAATACCACCTACTAGTTTCATTTGGGAGTCGGTGGTTGGAGGTTCTAAGTTTAGAAAGCCAAATGCGTAAATTAAGAGGTGAGTGCAGAAAATGCTTCTCTTGAGGGGGATATCTTTATATAAATTATGATAATGCCATTTTGATGAATTAACTATATTTCTCCTCCAACTTTGTGACAAAATTAGTTTTTACGTTTTTACTCTATATCCACAATACACTGGGAAATACCTGAGAGATCTAGCAGAGTCTATTGTACGATTCCGACAATATTTTGAACATGTTTTTATGAATAACTATCAAATAGTGATGATGCGAGGTGTGATGCGATCGTATCCTGGCCAACCGGTGGCACCATCACAAACACGTGCAAAGGCAAGTCATTTGTTCATTTTTATGATCATTGTTTTTGGTCAATTTTAATCTCATGTCAATAAGAGAGTGATCAGTTCTATATCCAACATTGAAACAATATTGGGAAATATTATAAATATAGATTTTGGGATACAAGGATAATATCTAATCTGTCATCATCATTAATTTAGAAAGACTGAATACAACTTTACAATGACTGTAGATTCAAAGCAGAACCAACACTCAAGATGAGATTAAGAAAAGTATATACCCATTACCCATACATGGTTGGATGGTAAGAATATTGTTTTCGATATTTTGATCACTATAATCAATCATATTGTAAAAGTGTCACCCTTCGTGTACGTGTATTTGTAAACACTAGAATAGGTACTACACCATTATCCGTTGTGAATGGAGATTTCTCGTAACTCAACAGTTAAGGAGAAATTAATGCCATGCACCTGTTGCGACTGGGGTTTGAAACTTAATAACTTGATATACACTCTTCAAAAAAAAGAAAGGCACAGGTAGTCAATTTAATAAAGTCGATATATCTAATTCAATATCATTGATACAAATATGACATTTTGAAGCTCGATAGTCACATGTTGTTGTTACAAATGCATCGAAAACTGTTCATTGTCATGTCACATAAGGCCACAAGGTAGAGCTGAACTCGTGTGACCGCCCCAGGCAGCAATCACGGCTCTGCATCTCCTCGGCAATGACATCGATAAGTGTACGAGTTCTGTAACTTGATATATGATAATGTTTCACTTGGAAATGGCCGACCTATAACGGGATTAACTCCTTTAAGTTGCAGCAACAGCCCTAGCGTGGTCTAGGGGAGGTAACTCGAATACTCAAACACGCGAACATAAACATGGGAGAGAGTTCTAACGCTAGGGAACGTCTTTATATACAATGACTGCGACGTTACAGTGTAGGCCACTGTCAAGATCACAGCTAAAGATGGACTCAAAGGTCATTATGGAAGACTTACATGCACAGGTTACGTGATTTAGCTCTGTCTTTGCAAGTACTTGCAAACATCTTTAATTTTGGTAGTAAACAAGTCTCAAATATGTGTGATTGTTCAAATGTATGACCTTTTAAGCTATGCCACTTCTATCCAATTTGCTGGGAACAAAGAATGTGCGTAAAAGTGTAATTCACTGATAGAGTTTTCAATAATGACGTCAACGGTTGAACGGACATTGACCACTCCTTGGGCCCATTTTCATACAGCAACTTATCGCTACGATTGACGTACAAGTAAGGCTTAGTACGGCAATTCGAACAGTCGCAGCACTCTTACAATTATGACATGCACGAATGATTACAACAGTAAAAGCAAACGGAAGGTGGGTACGGTTTATGCTGAAGTAACATCCATGTTTCAATAGCATCTGTTGTCATCCAGTTCCCTGGCAAATGCGTCCATGATGTCTAGGTCCGTCTTAACTAAAAGAATGGTAGTCTCAACAAGTCCGCTGAATAACTATCAATGTTTTCAGATGTTGACAATCTACGGGTCGTGAGGGTGAACGTATTTATCCTTAAACAATGTTTCCATCTCATCAAAATAGGCAAGTTGGTCCCTTATAAAATGTGTTCCCCAGAAACAGGAGAACAGTACCAAAGAGCAACGCGATAGGATAGGATGGCCACATGGCTCAGACGCATTCAGAAATTCGGTATCAGACTTTACAAGCCATAAACGTCTTTGTAAGAAAATACTTAACTTAAAGAAATAACAAATTTATTCAGACTTATGGCAAATAATGGCACTATCGAAAGTTAATCTTGGCCGAGAGAGCTACAAGTCTGGATTCTATCGGCTGAGGAAAGGGTCGTTGTAGAAGGAGGGCAATACGATATATAGAAGTTACTAACTGCATTGATTCCCCAACCGTATCTCTTAACTCAAACAGCAAACACAGCATCGAAGATATCGAGAAGGTAGCCGCCATTTTGAACCTTCATTGTGTAAGAATTTACTATGCTTATTTAATGTATTTGTATCTTATAACAAAGGCTGTAAAGTAATAAAGTTAGCAGTTGAAATGACCTCAGCCCTGGTCCAAGTTTCATGAAGCAATCTTAGCATTACGACTGACGTACATTTGGGGCTTTGTTAAACTATGGCAATTAGAAACAGTGGCATCGCAATTATTGCTTTAGTTTTAGTATTTTATATTATGCCAAGTTAATTCATCACTGACAACAAACAACGGTCTAGTTACCGATAAATCACACATACTGATTATGCCAGTTAAGCTAAATGTTCATGTCTCAGGATGTCAGATATGGCTGTCCCTCGATTAACTGCTTGAAAGTGTAAAATCATGTCAAGTCTCCTGGTTGAACCGGTTTTAAAGAAAACAGCACTAAAAACACTGTATTGAAACAAGGATGTTAAGATTGTTTCATGGTTTTTTTTCATCAAGTTGAGTTTTCCGCAGAAACATGATGAAATACACTGTCACATTTTTAAATGATTTCAAAAACAAGCAAACTGACGTAGGGACGCCACTGGACGCGGAGGCAACAATCAAGTAAAGCTGAAGGAGATGTGTCAGACATGAAATCGATCACAGGTCAAAATGTCTGCAATAATGTTTAATATCCGTGGTAAATATTTGTGAACGCTCAAGCGCGGCTTGACACACATCTGACACAGAATATTATTTTTATGTTGAATTTGTTTTATTTACCTCTGTGTTATATTGCCGATAGGATATTTGTTAACTCACTGTCAGAAACAGTGGTTCTTAGTTGAGAGAACTAAGAATCAGAACTACATACAATATATCAATAGGTGAGGTAAAATTGGGTTTAACGTCGCGTCCAAGAATATATCTGCACTTATATAGCGACGTGCGCTGCTTGTACTAGTCCGGACTGGTGCCGATTTATAGTGCTAGCCCACTGAGATACAATGCCGCAGTTTATCATGAATACTCCACTCAGACACAGTATACTGAGTCTGAGCCGACCAGTCCTTGTTTTAGCCCCTTAATGCCGAGCGCCAGCCAGGGCAACAACAAGTGCCATCTTTTAACGTCTTTTGGTATGACGCGGCCGGGGATCGAACCCCGGATCTTCCGCTCTCCGGGAGGACGCTCTACCTCTAGACCACGGAGGCGGTCTACAACATATCAGAAAGATCTCCAATAGGACAAACAGTTGTTCAAATTAATTATGTGAAATACAATTCATTTATATTTCCCCGAAACAGTTTATTTTTCCGCATATACAGAGTAGACGACATCTGTGAGTGAAAATATGTTTAACACTATCGCCACACTTATCAAACACAGCAAGCCAAATACCCGCGTAACCTACATATACTTCATGTTATCACACACCTGTCCATATCTTTTACAGATCTTGTGATGCTCCAAACGGAAACCAAGTAGTGCGCATGTGTATGACGCGTGTACAGGGCCGGAGTTCAGTATACGCCCCACTCCTGTAGACATCAGTAAGAGGTTCAAGTTTGTATAACACAGAAGGTGAGGACAATTTATGCTGCAGCAACATCCCTAGGTGAGAGGCTTGTTGTTATTTAACGACATCCCTAGCACTATTCCAGCTATATGCTTCTTTGTTATTTAACGACATCCCCAGCACTATTCCAGCTATATGCTTGTTTGTTATCTTACGACACCATCAGCAGTATTCCAGCTATATGATTGTTTGTTGTTAAATGACTTCCCAAGCTATTCCAGCTACATGTTTTTTTGGTGTTTAACGACGCCCCCAGCACTATTCCAGACAATCACGCCGTCGGGGTACGTTGATACCCGATCACACAAATTACCGAACATGACGAACAGTCGCGAGCTTGGTAATAACTGGGACAACGAGCAGGGTAATAACTAGGACAACGAGCAGGGCGTGTAGCTGACAGACCACAGGTAATGACTGGGACAACGAGCAGGGTATGTAGCTGACAGACCATGTGTTTTAACTGGGACAACGAGCAGGGTATGTAGCTGACAGACTACGTGTAATAACTGGGACAACGAGCAGGCTATGAAGCTTACAGACCATGGGTAATAACTGGGACAACGAGCAGGGTATGTAGCTGACAGACCACGGGTAATAACTGGGACAACGAGCAGGGTAATAACTGGGACAACGAGCAGGATATGTAGCTGACAGACCACGGGTAATAACTGGGACAACGAGCAGGGTATGTAGCTCACAGACCACGGGTAATGACTAGGACAACGAGCAGGGTAATAACTGGGACAACGAGCAGGGTATGTAGCTGACAGACCACGTGTAATAACTAGGACAACGAGCAGGGTATGTAGCTGACAGACCACAGGTAATGACTGGGACAACGAGCAGGGTAATAACTGGGACAACGAGCAGGGTATGTAGCTGACAGACCACGGGTAGTAACTGGGACAACGAGCAGGGCATGTAGCTGACAGACCATGTGTTTTAACTGGGACAACGAGCAGGGCATGTAGCTGACAGACCACGTGTAATAACTGGGACAACGAGCAGGGTATGTAGTTGACAGACCACGGGTAATAACTGGGACAACGATTAATTTAACTTGTTCTCCTAACTCGGTAGATACTGCACCACCTTCCCCTGACACTAGCGATATGAAGCTGCTTATCACCTGTATCCAACAGGCACACGTTTATTGGTCTGTAAGAGGCCTTACTGTGCTGATATGTGACTACTTGTATCCGCGACACCCTCATGCATATGGTTTGATCGAAGTCCGATGTTTATATCTGACCTACTTGTCAATCATATGAGACACACATCATGTTAATTTGTCATACCGGGTGGTTCTGATGAAATTAGCTACTGCGCATGTGCAGATAAGGCGTAGGTTCGTGTCTGTGTCATGTATGTAGACGCCTCCTGAGTAGTTGGTGGCCCCACTTCAGTACCGCTCCTGGCTTCTGATTGGTCGATTTCTGTGATGACGTCACTTCCGGTTTCGGTTTGATCACGTGACTGCGCATGCGCAGAGGGCATTGTGGGTCATACGTGCGCATCCAAGATGGCGGCATTTTCGTTTCCGGGAGGCGGGGGAACATCCAAGATGGTGGCACGTCCGGTTCCGAGGGGGGCATCTTCCCATCCAAGAGGGCGGCATGGCGCCTCCAAGGCGTCGACGGCGGGAAGGCGGGAAGGCGGGAAGGTGGGAAGGCGGGAGGGCGGGAAGATGGGAAGGCGGGAGGAGGGAGGGCGGGAAGGCGGGAAGGAGGAAGGCGGGAGGGAGGAGGGGGAGGGTGTGGCAGGGTGTGTGTGTGTGTTTTTGTCGATTGCATGTGGAGATGATAGATCACTGAGACGAGCTTATACACAGTCGATGACCCAGCAACTTTGTTGCTAGGTTGACGTCACATCGGCAACGAAATTCAACAAATGACATCATCGGGTATTATGACGTGATTGTAAATTTTGAGGTGCTGGGTCACGTTCCCCAAGGCGATCGTATTGTAGCGCAAGGGCAGTCGTTCGTCTAAGTTACAGTATGTGAGTGGCGATCACCTTAGCGCTCAATCATGTTGTGGAACGGACGCCTGAATTCTAAAGGTGAATCAACATGCACAGACATGGACATGGTGTAGGAAGGCAGGAAGCGGTCAGATGTCGACCTTGTTTTCTTTTTGTTTTTCTCTGGGGTGTGCATGGCCATTTCCATCCTAAAAAAAAAAGAAGACAACACAACACTTATTTTTGTTCAACTTTTTTTAATCCCCCGCTCACATGAACCAACACAACAAAAGAAAAGCCACAGGATTAGGGACGTCCCTGTGATTTTTGTGAACATTAGGGTGATCACTAGGGTGTGAACGTATGTACATTCCTACCACGCAGTGAATGTATGTACACTCCTCAAACAGGAACGTTGACAGTCAGGTGATCGTAGGTTCAGTGAACAAGTGTCAGGTCAATAAGGGCAGAAAGGTTGGTTCTTTTGATGTAGGGTACGCGTCTGAGCACTCAGTCGAAAGGCAGGCATCTCATCCACAGGAACGGAGGTAGACACTTTGGTATGAAACCATGCTAATACCGTGGCATCATTCTTGGCAGTGTCCTTCAAGTCCAACGTATCTAACACTTGAATAAAAGTCGACCCAAACACGCGATAGGTCAGCATGTAGTGACAGTACACGCCACACAACGTGCTGTATCAATGTTGTAAGGGGTGTGTATTCCATCGTTGTTGAATCCGACCCATGCGATTCAAAGTCTCTTTAAACAGAGGTAATGAATACAGTTCATAGCTATCCACCATTTCCATGGATCCAGGAGCTGGACGATAGATGCTCACCCAGTGTGTGCCAGGTTGATCACTTGAATCTGTGTTGACCACGTAGGCTTTGGGGTAAAAGTGGTCATCCTGTTGCCATCCCAGCCTGGCAAAGTCATCTCTGGCCAGGGTGCCCCAGTAGATGGCATGAAGTGGTTCGTCATCAGCCACGAGGGCTTCTAAATCCAAGGTGCTCAACCCGAGTGGTTCATCCATGGTCCCTTGTAGGAGGGGGAAAAAGTGTGCCATGACCGTCTGTCGCTGCTATTTTTATACCATCATCGCATTCCGGAAACGATCTATTTCCAGAACATTTTCGTATTCCTCATAGCAGATGAGGGTGACTGGGTTCTCGAGAGCTTGTCCAAACTTGCCATTGTGTCGAGGATAGCTGATGCCTTCATCAGCGCCAAGGTCTGGTTTGAGATCCACCACCCACAAGGTGTAACCTTGAGCAAAGGCCTTGACAGACACCTCACAGGTCTCAGGTCGCCACAGCTGTCCCGTGTTTCGGAACAGATTCATGTAGATTTGTTTCAAATTGGCACTGTTGTTGCTGAAGTCGCTTTTCATTTCCATCCCATGGACTTCCTGGCCATTGAGTTTCAGCTTTATCATGGTGACATGGTTGTGTTTGAAGTTGTATGGATTCTTCTCTTTGCTTCCTACATAGGCACTATTGTCCACCAGTCCCAGGACCACGTGTTTTGGTAATTGGCCACCGATGAGCTGATCCTTGTGAAAGTCTCTACTGCCTGTGGGGATGTCATGGGCTGTCACTTGCACACGTGAAAGGGGATACTTGGCAGTCACCCCTGCGTTCAGACTGGACACATGTGTTTCTCGGACAGCAGGATCGATGTTGAGTTGACGAACATAAAATTCGGCTTTCGGCAGGGCCAGTTTGTAGACACCATCAGCAGCACACATGAAGAAGAACTCATCAGGACTTCGTAGCAATTCCAGTTTCATTGGGACACCATCCAACAGATAGCGTTCTTGAAGAAACAGGTCACAGTGTAGACGTCCTGTCAGTTCCACTTCTTTGCAGGGCACGATAAGATCGTGTCACGTTCTGACACCTGTGTTTCTTGCATCCGCATTTGCATCAGGATAGAAGACATCCATTTTACCAGCACTATCGGTGAACCATCCAGGAAATTGAAGGTTAGATGTTTTGGCTCTTGTACCATAACTCAGAAGGGTTTCCAAGTAGGCTCTGTAAGGGTAAGTGTCCATGGAGGGCGTGATCTCCAACTGATTGTGTACCACTTGCAGCCGCACTTCGTGAAACAGGTAATGCATCACGTTGTTGACTGTCGATACAGGGTTATCCCCCACCGTGGTATCTGTGCCATCTTCTTTCGTGACGCGTAGACATACTCTCAGGTAGCACTGTTTCAAATCAATGTAAGCATTCATGGGATTGGAAATGTTAAACTGGAGCAGTCCTGCCACAGAGGGTGGCGCCAAGGGACTTGCACAGAGGTGGACACAGGGGGTACAGTAAAGAGACTGGGCCTTTGAACATTCGCAAGCATCTCAGCGCATCATGATGATGGATGTTCCTCCCTTTCTCTGCCTTGAAGGACGTCTGGTCAGATTGAAAGTCTGATGAGGACTGACCTTTAAACCATTTTTCATTTCCTTTTACGCTGTTTCTGGTTGCTGGTGGTGGTGGTTGGGACGACCTTACATGTTTTAGGTGGTCTTGGCTCCTCACGTTCCTCCAAGGCATCCATCAGGGCAGCTGTTCCACGATGTTTCAGACTCTCTGAACATTTGCGTTTGCCTGCCACCACATCACTCACCAACCCTGGTAGGATCTTTTTACCCATCTTGAGCACCGATGTTCCAGCAGATTTAAGGAAAGGCAACACCATCTTCAAGATACCACCGAGACCACTGCCGCATTGAAGATACCATCCTTTGTATACTTTGATGCCACTCCCACGCTGGCCGAACTGTCCTCGATAAAACTTGTGTGCCAACGCGTGTCCCAACATGTTGCTTCTGCGTTAGTGGCGGTGTCTGAAGCGAAGTGTCATGATGGCTTCCTCGATTTGAAATGGCAATGGGCGCCCTGTTTTGTCCATGATATAGAGTTTAATACCATCAAAGGAACCATGCCGCAGTCCGAGGTAGCGAATGTGCTATCACCACACTATCTTGCATCATCTTCTTTGACACAGGTACATGGATCAGCAATGGGGCCATCATATTGCCCACAATTTGATCTTCGAACAGGTTGGTGTAAATGTACACAGTATCAAATCCTGACAGGCGATTCGCTTTTGTATCACCTGTGATTTGTTTAAATTCACCTCCCCCCACTGTCATGGGTTGAGCCCCCACTTGGTGCTGGGATAATTCACTCAAGGGAACAGCAGTCTCTGTGTAGCTTTTGTATTCCTCATCATCGAGGATCGGTAGTTGAACAAATTCTCGAGAGTGGACTTGGTAAGATCACTTCTGTGGCATAGAGTACCGTGGCATTGACTAGAGGGGCTTGGAATCGCACCTTTCCATCTTCAAGCATGTCAAATCGAAGACTATCTTGGGGATACTTGACATCAATGGCAAATCGTCTGCCATCACTATGGATTTTGTCTGAGGACTGTTCTTTCAAGACACCCGTAATATGCTCCTGAATCAAAGTGTTGAGGGATTTCACCTATCTTCAGATGAATAGACTTCTTGCTTACGTAATTGACGACAGCATGGGTACAGTGGCCGATGCTCTTTCATACACATGGGTGTCTTTTTTCAGTGAGAGGTTCAGAGCAAACCAGTCGAAGGGTGGGGCGACATTGTACCATGTTATTTGAAAGTGAATTTTGCTGATGCCAACCTCCCACTGTTGGCGGTCCAGATGCGGAGGATAAGGCAACTTGATTTCATACGCATTGACTCTGTTGTTTGGATAGATGTCCATGGAGGCATCACTGGTCAGGGTCATGTAAAAGTCTTGTTTCGAAAAAAAGACGGCAGCCATGACGTCGTGAGCTAGGGTAGAAAACTCTTAGTGGATGAGCTATCAAGTTGAAGTTTTCTGGCGGTTGGGGTCGTGGGGATGTCTGGTGAGGTCAAGGTGGGTAGTGGAAGTATGTATCCCAATCAACTGGAGAGCAGGGCTGTCCACAGCTGTTTCTCTCTGTGATCCAAGGCCAACTGTACCATGCTCATGATGATCACACCATATATCACCCAGTTGGGGAGATAACATTTTTCAAAGGTGCCTTTGGTTTTGTTCACACATATACGAGTGCCCGGCAGTAAAAGAGAGGGGGGTCTTGTCTTGGGGGACGACAGTCTTTTGGGTGTTGTTTGGGTTGTAGTGGTTGTAGTGGTAGTGGTTTGATGGTGCTGTGACCTCTGCATCAACATGTCCATCTCTTCCAAATTTTGGAGACATTTCTTTTCCAAGAGAGGGGTGTGAAGTGTCTGACAATGACGTTGTTTGGTGGCCTGTAGACTTTGCCATGTGTCTTAAGGCACCAACACCATCTTGTTTGCGTACTTCATGGTGGCACACCACACACTGATCCCAACCAACCTTTCTGGTGTCAGACCATTTATTACTTTCCTCCAAACAAAGAGGCTAGGGCAGAACCAATAAGAGGAATGAGTTCTCCTAATTATCCTCCTCCATGTTGAAGAAGTTTACGTTTCTTGCTTAGAGGTACTTGTTTTTTCATGAGCGTGTTCAAGACTTTACCGTGTCGTTGCAAGTTTTGACGTTGAGTCGTGGTCATGGGAATATTGCCTGCATACAAGTTCACCACACATTCACAAAGGGCAAGGATGAGATCAGTTGGAGCATGTTTAAGAATGACTTTGCGCATCACTGAAGCGGCAGCACACAAATGACATAGAGCTTCTCTCTTTTATCAGGCAGTGGCCGGAGGGAGTGGCAACTGTTGATCTGCCTTCTTGGACTTTCTTTGGGTCTGCATGTGCTCCAATCGTCTCAGAGGCATCTAATCTGCAGCTTCTCTCTTTTATCAGGCAGTGGCAGGAGGGAGTTGCAACTGTTGATCTGCCTTCTTGGACTTTCTTTGGGTCTGCATGTGCTCCAATCGTCTGAGAACATCAGCTTGATACGCTTTCGTGAGATTTTCATGAGCCTTTACTTTTGGCTTAGAAGTTGTCGTTGTTGTTGTTGTTGTTGTAAGTCGGTGGCGCCTGGTGTTACCCTGTTTGAGGAGTGGTGCTTGAAGATAATGTTGCCATTGCAACAGAATGTATGTCAAGACCCCTGCCAGTGTTCCACTACCGCTGCACTGCATCAGGTAGCCAAGACGTTCATCCATAGGCAGACGTGGATCGACAATTTTAGTCAGGGTATCATTATGTCTCTGCAACCCGTCTTATGTTGAGCTTTCAATGGGATGTGTCCTGCTCTCAGGTTCCGCACGACAATCGCAAACCACTGCAAAAGTCGCATCCCATGTCGGAAAAATAGACGTTCTCTTGTCTTTTTTCATGGGGACTTCTGTTGCTGCAGACGTTGAAAGCGTTGAAGATCGAGTGGTCGCGAGGGTGGCAAGGGTGTTGATGAGGAAGGGCGTTGTTGTTCCTGACGATGCATGTTCATGGGTACCATCGAAGAGTAAGACGGGACTGGCGGGGACTTCTGCTGCTGCTGCTGCTGCAGAGGTTGAAAGCGTTGAAGATCGTGTGGTGGTGAGGGTGGTGATGATGTTGAAGGACGTGGTGGTGACTGCTGCTGACGATGCATGTTCACGGGTACCAAGTGAGACGATCCTGGTGGTGAAGGAGTCTTGTGAAATGCAGAGGACACAAGTCCCTGTAGCGATGAGGGGAAGACCATACTGGCATAGATATCATTCATCATCTCTTGGTCTTTATTCTTTCCCTTTGTAGGATGAACCTGTTTCCGTCTTTGCCCCATGATGACTGTGACTCAACTGAAGGAAAGTCAGTGGGTTCACCTGCTTTTATGAAAGTCTCTACATCTCATAGGTTCGGCACATACACGAGGGGCATCTCGGATCTCGAAAACAGGCGGATATCAAGTCCAAGAACAGGTAAGTGTAAGTCTCTCGCGTGGCGTCTTCATAGGCTTCACGCAGAAAAGGAACTTTGCCTGGAAACACCTGGCGAGCCAGACTGTCGATCTGCGATGCATCTCTTGGGTTTTTAAAGAGGACCATGTAGTGAGCATTCAGACTGATGGTGCGATGTTGCGACCATTTGGCAAACAAGTTCTGAGTGAGGTACAGCACGGATGTGTTTCGGCGATGACTTTTCTTGGTGAACAATCACAGCACTTCTGTTTCTTCTTCTTTTATATTGTAACCAAGCAAGTCATCGATGACCAACCAATGCGGGGCCACCCTTTTTTCTGGCAAGGCAAGATCCGCTTCTTTCATGCTCTGCACAAACTCAAGAGCGACCCCTAAGTGGTCTGCCATCTCTTCCAACTCATGATAAAGCGGTTGCCATTCGCTGTACAGCCACATGATGCGATGGGGTGGCGTATCCAACACCTTGGGGCGATGCATCTGCTCCATACATGATTTCACAAAGGAACTTTTTCCTGATCCTGTGGGTCCCGCAATGAACATTGTAAAAGGATGGGGTAGGGTCAAAGGGGAGGTCATGACCTCTTCATCACCATCATCACCACGTGACGCCACGCTGTGTTCTGGCTGACTGACACCAGGCAACTGATCCTTTCAAGCATGACTTTTTTTTTTTCTCTTCTTTTCTTTTCCACACACACACACACACACACACACACACACACACACACACACACACACACACACACACACGGAATGGACCCATCAGCGCGATGCATTTGGACCAATCAGGAAACAGGGTGTCAGTGCCTCACCTATAAAAAGAGCGAAGCCATGCATCACACCATCACAATCCTAGCACTGAAGGAGAGATCAACCATGTCGTCTCGATACAGCTGTATGAAGTGCCAGACCAACAGTCAACAATGTCCGTGGATGAGTAAAGTCTATTCTTGGACAATAGTGGCCTACCCACCTGGTGAATCGGAGACGATCCTATCGCAGAGCCCACATTGGTTTAAGAACAAGTCTGAGGCTATTGCAGCATTACAACAAGCTATACAACATGGAGTTCATGTCCCCGATTGTTGGGGTGGTCCGTATTATTATCTAGTATCGAGATCAAGGAAAGGTCGTATTATCATCTAGTATCGAGATGAAGGAAAAGTAATGTAAAAACGATGTACAACATGGATACAGCACGTTGTGGATAGCTATGAACTGTATTCATTACCCCTGTTTAAAGAGACTTGAATCGCATGGGTCAGATTCAACAACGATGGAATACACACCCCTTACAACATGGATACAGCGTGTGGCGTGTACTGTCTCTACATGCTGACCTATCGCATGCGTGGGTGGACTTTTAATCAAGTTTTAGATACGTTGGACTTGAAGGACACTGCCAAAAATGATGCCACGGTATTAGCATGGTTTCATACCAAAGTGTCTACCTCCGTTCCTGTGGATGAGATGCCTGCCTTTCGACTGAGTGCTCAGACGCGTACCTTACATCAAAAGAACCAACCTTTCTGCCCTTATTGACCTCACACTTGTTCACTGAACCTGCGATCACCTGACTGTTCACGTTCCTGTTTGAGGAGTGTACATACATTCACTGCGTGGCAGGAATGTACATACGTTCACACCCTAGTGATCACCCTAATGTTCACAAAAATCACAGGGACGCCCCTAATCCTGTGGCTTTTCTTTTGTTGTGTTGGTTCATGTGAGCGGGGGATTAAAAAAAGTTGAACAAAAATAAGTGTTGTGTTGTCTTTATTTTTTTTTTAGGATGGAAATGGCCATGCACATCCCAGAGAAAAACAAAACCAAACAAGATTGACATCTGACAACTTCCTGCATTCCAACACCACGTCCATGTCTGTGCATGTCGATTCACCTTTAGAATTCAGGCGTCCCTTCCACAACATGATCGTAGCGCTAAAGGGATCGCCACTCACATACTGTAACTTAGACGAACGACTGTCATTGCACTACAATACGATCGCCTTGTGGAACGTGACCCTGCACCTCAAAGTTTACAATCACGTCATAATACCCGATGATGTCATTTTTTGAATTTTGTTGCAAGATCCTTCGCCGATGTGACGTCAATCTAGCAACAAAGTTGCTTTGTCGACCCGCCCTCCCTCTGAAGTGGGGCCACCAACTACACTGCTGTACAGCCCTCTCTTCTGTCATTTCTCGTGAAGTAAGAACGTTTATCAACCTGATGATAATTACTTGTCTCTGTTAAGGGATTAAGCAACGTTTGTTTTGTAGAATCATTACTCTTTGAATGGTGATTTAAAAGGTTGATATGAATCGCGAGTGAAATCCTGCTATGCGTCGCTGTGTTTTGATTAACATGATTTTTTGTCATGTTTTTGTAAAATTTAATAAATAGGATTGACTCTGTGTCTTTTTATCAGTTAACTGAAGTATGAATCAAATAATCGATGTGAAGATGTTTGTAAGAATCTGCTATGGATTCATACAGTTAGCACACGAGTATTTCTATTCATTCCTCAAAGACTCGAAACAAATATGCAGTCAACCTAAAGTACTTTAGTATGAAAATAATGTTTTATAGATAGATCATACGTTGTCTGTCAGAAACTACCACACTCATTCCTTGTAAATGTAACATACTGTGGTATTGCCGTTTTCTGGTAAATAAAACAATTAAAAACAAACCTTTTCTGCAAGAGAATGTTCTTGTGAGATAACGTGAACTGGAGCGAATATGTTGCAGATCAATTGTTAAAGTGAGTGAGTGAGTGAGTGAGTGAGTATGGTTTTATGCCACTTCCAGAAATATCAAGGCCGGGGACACTTAACATGACGCTTCACACCTTGGAATCGTTTTGTACGATGGTAACAAAGACCACAGTTAATGATCTGCCCATAAAACAAAGTTATCACAAAGTGGTCTTATTTGTTTTTTGTACCACAAGTGGAAACTGTTTTAAATAGGCCTCTTCTCCTACTTAAGTTACGCCAGTGAGACACGTCGCTGTGGTATTACAGAATAGTAAACATGTTAATTCGTCAGTCATTTTTCATTTTTTCGAAAATGTCACTCATGTATATTTTTAATCACCCAGGGCGGAACTAAGTTACAGTAAACTAGGGTGATAATGAACTCAAAGGGACTACTAAGTTTAGTTCGTTATAACTGTAGTTCGGTATAAGCATATATACAGCATAACTGCAGCAAATAGTCGGGACCAAAAAAGTAAGTTTGTTATATCCGTCAGTCAGTTCGTTATAAGCGTGTTCGTTATAACCGTAGTTTACTGTAATTACGGAAGAGTCTCCAGGAGGGAAGATGGAACCATTGCAAGACCAAGACCAAATTGATCGTGATGTTGGTCTACTTCTTTCAGATGTTTTAGTCGAAATAGATAAAGGCTTTTAAACAGGGATGACACCCCACTTCTTCATCTTCCACACAACACTACTATTGTAAGTTCTTGTTCGTGATGACACAACAGTATTGAAGAGAAGTTATTAATCTTTTTGATTGTGTGCGTACAACATTGTGTGTTGCATTGTTATCTATCTCTACATGATAGTAAACTACTTCAGCATTTGTTGTTTCAGGGCAACTGGAAATTACAGGTAATATCAGAAGGAATGTGACTCTATGAACGAGCATTGTATTAAGCGAGCCTTGGCGAGCTAAATACATAGTGTTTATTCCTAATACAGGATATTTACCATCCCCAAACACACAAGCGTGATAACCTCTTTATCATATAAATGACATTCTTCAATTCTGTGTTCGAAAGTCTCTTCCCATCTGGAATGTGCGCATTAATAGATATTACGTCAGAGGATAAGTGGTGTGTCACTCGGTCAGTGACAGTAGCCAATATAGTTCCAGCTGAAACCTGTTTCTTATACAGTGGCGTAACTACATATGTGCAAAACAACAATTACCTGCACAAATTGTTTTTACTACTTTCGCAGTAATCCGATAGTCCGATAGTGTAACTGCTCTTTATCAAAGGAAAGCTACTCTAACCCTTGTCTGTGAGATGTCACGGCCATAGTCAGACATTGACATTAGGTCTGCCCTATCATAAAGTTGCGAAGTACTGTCAGATGGACACACAGCAACAAAACGAAACAAGGTAATAATTCGAACAAATCCAACTGTTTTTATTTTGTGGAAAAGGTCCCAAGCCGCAGAGGTCTACAAGCACATCTATGGGAACTGATCCCGCTTATTGTCCTCGCTAAATTGCTTCGTAATTTCTATCACCAAAATTGCCCAGACTTGTAAAATGCTGTAGCAACGTCACAGTTAGACACCGATTTTCAGCATTTTAGACTGTTATTTTGATAGTGATAGCAATTATCCAAGTAGTTTCTCCAGGTTCACGATGGTTAATTTATACATGACACCGGCGACGGCATGTTTGTTTGTAAACACTGAAAGTAGTCCCTATTTGAACTTTGATATTTGCATCTCTTTTCGCATATGACCCCAACGGATATTGTTTTTATCCGTTGGCTTTATCCTGCCGAGAAACCTGTCCATTATATGATATATACTATCATTACAGTAGCATTTCATCTTATATTTCCAACAATGACAGCTGTGCTTGTGACCAGGAAGGAATGATTTCTTTGTTCCAGATCAGTGTCCAGTGTCCCAGACTAACATCTCTAATGCTTCCAATGTTTCTGTTTGGGATCTTGCACACAGAGGCTGTCTATCACAAGGTAAGAACATTGTGTTGTGGGTACTGGCAATAAATACTATATATTTGTAATATATTATTTTTCTTCTTCTAGTTTCTTGTTATCACAGTGTCATATATTACATCAACATGTCTTTCCCAAAACTTCTACCCGTGAAGATCCGGGTTAGAATAGGTCTTCAGCAACCCATGCTTGCCGTAACAGGCGACCATGCTTGTCGTAAAAGGCGACTAACGGGATCGGGTGGTCTGGCTTGCTGACTTGGTTGATGCATGTCACCAATCCCAATTGCGTGGATCGATGCTCATGATATCAATCACTGGATTGTCTGGTCCAGGCTCGATTAATTACAGACCGCCGTCATATAGCTGGAATATTGCTGAGTGCGGCGTTAAACAACAAATCAACCTCAAACTTCTTCAAGTAATACTTGTGTCTGACCCTGTCTCCATCAAGAATGTTTGAACGCTATCGCAGGTTTCCTGGTGTTTGATATCAGCACAGATTGTCAATTTTCTTTTCTTAATACCTCTTTGATAAGATGGTTTCTAATACTCTTTATTCATAGAATATATTTTGCTCGATACATGAATTTAATCGCAAGGCCAACAATAAGAACAATTTCTCATAAGAAGTATAGAATTACAGATAACATGATACAAAATTGTGAGAAAGAGGGAAGTTTAATTAATCCATCACTTTCTTTTCAGAAAGCCTCACATCACGGATAGACAATCTGAAGAAGGACTTTGTTCAAGTTCATGCTCTTGAAGTAGCAGAGGAGTTGCTGAAAAAGAACAGACATATTGCCATCAACGGAGCTCCAGGGGATGGGATAACCACCATTGCTTTAATGCTTTGTGATAAATATCTCAAGAAAAATCATAGCATATTGTTCGTAGAAAACGTTGACCTTTTTGGTGTTAACACGATAATCAAAAGGAACAATGACATGCTTGTTGTCTTTGACATCATTTTTGGCTCTGTTACATTACTGTCAAGTTTAGAAGCTATCCACAAAGTGTTCAGTGCCTTGGTTGAATCTGTGTGTGTCTTGAGTGTGTCACAACCAGATAAAGTTGCTTCAGGACAGACATTCAAGCTTCACTTTCTTTTCACATCACGAACCTACAACTGGAATGAGGGATGTTCTAGACTGCATCAGTTCAAAGGCAGTCTCTTCGATTCACAAGTCGTCATTGATTTGACAAAAACAGGCCTTACAGAAAAAGAAAAGGAATCCATTCTCACATCCTTTATGAGAGGATATCCACTGTTCGACATTTCTCAGGAGGATATGAAGGCTATTACACAGTAACAAAACAGCATGTTTGGATTCCCACTGACCAGTAGACTGTACGTCCATAACACAGTCTTCCAAACAGAGACACGAGACCTTGACAACATTGTCCGAGAACTCAGTAGCAGATCAGCAGCTCTTATTCTTCTCATCCTGTGTGGTGGGGAACTGGACCTTGTTTCCTTTCAACAAGGAACGAGAGGAGCCTACACCGCCCTGTTTCATGCTGTACAGGAGGTGGTGCCATCGTGTACTCCAACGGATATTGATAACGAAATCAGAAATTTCAATGGCTCCTACTGTAGAGTGGAGAATAATGCAGCTTCCTTCTCACATCCATCCATCTATGATGCGGCAGCATGTGCCCTTGGTAATATCAACCCTGTGTTGTTGTTAAAGCATTGCTCTATGAAATTTTTGTATGAAAGAGTAAGACAGGGTAAGCAGGATCAACAAGTGCCAACAATCACAGATGATGTCACAAACATGATGTACATCACGACTCACCTATACCCAATAGTAGTGACCAGGCTGGTGGAAGGCATACAACACGGATGTTTCAGATTGACACTCCCCCATCCTCTATTGAGGGACGCCCAATTTGCCTCCTTACTATATGAACAACTGGCTGATCACTTGCAACACATTGTTACACAGAAGGACGCTGATTCTGGTGAATGTTTCATTTATTATGTTTCACTGTCAGATAATGATTTACTATTTGCCCATTCCTTGGAAGTACTTGGTAGAAGGGAAAATATCCATGCTCTTTCAGTCGAGACTGTGACGTACCTCAATGATGCTTTATTAGCCTGTGTGCGAAGTAATAAGCCCCAACGTCTTGGACAAATAATATATATGCTTCAGGAAGGGCATATGTTTGATGTAAACTGGAGAAAGGGAGATAGAACCCTGTTGATGTTTGCTGCAGAGTCAGGGAATTTGGACGTGTTCAACGTATTGTTAAAGTGGAAAGCAGACATATTACTTACTGACTGGAAAGGATATACTTGTCTTCACCACGCTTGTAAATCAGGGAGCAAAGATGTCAGTATAGCTATTGTAAAGCTTTTTCCTGATTTGATTAATGTATTTGCCGAGAAAGGCCTGACAGCTGCCATGTTGTGTTGTTTGTCTGGTCAGAATGAAGTTCTGAAAGAACTTGTGCGGCAAGGAGCAAATCTCAGTCTCACTGACAAAAAAGGTAGAAACTGTCTTCATTTGGTTTGTGAAAGTGGACCCCTATCTACAGTGAAATATTTGATGTCTCTGAAAACAATTGATATCAAAAGTAAAGGAAGTTTTGGGCAGACACCGGTTATGTTGGCAGCAGAGAATGGACAGTTAGATATTTATAATCTTCTTGTATCAAAGGGTGCTGATCTGTCACTTACTGATGGTAACCACAATGATTGTCTGATGTTGGCTTGTATGGGAGGCAACAAGCATATTGTGAAACACCTCTTGCCTTTGAAACTGTTTGACATCAACAGGAGAGGAATGCTTTACCAGACCCCAGTTATGTTGGCAGCTGTGAGGGGACATGTTGAGGTTTATGATCTTCTTGTATCTGAGAGGGCGGATCTGTCACTTACTGATGATAACGGCTATGATTGTCTGATGTTGGCTTGTATGGGAGGTAGCATGACTATTGTGAAACGGCTCTTATCTGTGATAACATTTGACATCAATAGGAGAGGATGGCGTAACCAGACCCCAGTTATGTTGGCAGCACAGAGAGGACATGTTGAGGTTTATGATCTTCTTGTATCAGAGAAGGCGGATCTGTCATTTATCGATTTCCACTTATGTGATTGCCTGATGTTGGCATGTGAAGGGGGTAGCATGCCTATTGTGAAACACCTCTTATCCTCGATAACATTTGACATCAATAGGAGAGGATCGGTTAAACAGACCCCAGTAATGTTGGCAGCACAGAGAGGACATGTTGAGGTTTATGATCTTCTTGTATCAATGGGGGCTGATCTGTCACTTACTGATGAGGCCAACAATGATTGTCTGATGTACGCATGTGTTGGAGGTAGCACGCCTATTGTGAAACACCTATTATCCTTAAAAAATGCAGTTGACATCAATAGGAGAGGTTGGTTAAAAAGAACACCAGTCATGGTGGCAGCAGTGAGAGGACAAGTTGAGGATTATACTCTTCTTGTATCAGAGGGGGCGGATCTGTCACTCACTGATTGTAGCAACAAGGATTGTCTGATGTTGGCATGTGAGGGAGGGAGCATGCCTATTGTAAAACACCTATTATCCTTGAAAACAGTAGACATCCATAGGAGAGGGTGGATTAACCGGACACCAGTTATGGTGGCAGCAGAGAAAGGACATTTTGCTGTTTATAATCTTCTTGTATCAGAGGGGGCTGATCTGTCACTTTCTGATGATAACAACAATGATTGTCTGATGTTGGCATGTGAAGGAGGTAGCCTCCCAATTGTTAAACATCTCTTATCCTTGAAAACATTTGACATCAATAGGAGAGAATCGGTTAACTGGACACCAGTTAGGTTGGCATTATTGAGAGGACATGTTGATATGTATAATCTTCTTGTATCAGAGGGAGCCGATCTGTGACTTTCTGCATCACATGTCCCCTTTGGCAACTCTGCATAACTGTAGAGAAGAAAAAGAATTGTCTATAGTAATTACTGTGTAATTAGCAAGCTGCCATCTTCAATACATATATGCTACAGAGGCCCGTTACATACAGTCTCACATTAAGAATCATTATGGATAGAAAATATTGATAACTAGTTTGTTCTGCGGCTGCCCACGGTTCTCTTGTGCACACACAGGAGCTCCACAAGATTGGCTCATCTCTTAATAACCTACGGTAATGATTGAGTCATCCTAACTGTCTCACTGTCCAGCTTTGTTTAGCCTTATTTGAGACAAGGAAAACCATGCGGGGATAACTATCCAGACAAATACAGTCTCAAGATGATTCTCTTAGAAGATAATGACAATAAAAGCACCAAAACCCTTTCCATATTAAATAGCTAAAAGCAGAGTCGATTGCACGATTTCCGATTATATCATGAGCATGTGTTTATGAATCACTCTCAAATAGTGATGATACCAGGTGTTGCGAAAAGGTGAGCATAACCTGCTCCACTGGTGGAACCTGTCACAAACACATGACAACACAAGTCAAGTTCTTCAGGAAGTTGTCCCTTACTGATCCGCTCACTGATGATTACAAAAATGATTGTCTGATGCTGGCTTGTATGGGAGGTAGCATGCCTATTGTGAAACACCTCTTTTCCGTGAAATCATTTGACATCAATACGAGACAATAGTTCAACAAGTTATGTTGGCGGCACAGAGAGGACATATTGATGTTTATTATCTTCTTGTATCAGGGGATGCAGATCTTTGTCACTAACTGATTTGATGAACAAACATTGTCTTGACACCAGTTCTGTTGGCAGCAGTGAAACAACATGTTGATGTGTACAGTTTTCTTCTATCAGAGGGGTCAGATCTGTCACTTACTGATTTCTTCATTTAGAAGTTGGAGTACTAAGTAAGGAAAAGAATTTATGGATAAACAACTTCTTTATTACAATTAAGAGCGACGTTTCGGTGTAGGTTCTAACATTGTTATCAAGCAAGTGATATACAGATAGATATTGTTATACTGGAGTAGAGAAGCCTGTTATGTATATACAAGGGTAGTGATGACAATCATCAGTGAAGTCAGTAACATAAATAAAGGATGAAGCCAGTAACATAAACACCGGGATTTTGGCTGTTTGGGGTCTTTGATACCGGGGGTATGTAATAGCCTTGGTCACGTTTGATTTGCGACTGGGATCTTTTGATGTTGATGGCTTCTTGTAGTTTCCTGATCTTGAAGTCTTTGAGGTTGGTGGTGAGGGCTGTGACTCTCTCCCACTGAATGCTTAGGCTTGGGTTGTCACGTATGTGGTCTGATAGAGCTGATTTAGAGTCATATTTGGAGACTGAGCTTTGCTGTTCTTTTATTCGGGTTTTTGCGGGGCCTAGATGTTTCTCCTATGTAAGCTGTCCACCTTTGCTCAATTGTGAGAGTTGTGTTTGGATGCCGAGCAGTACAGACGTGTTTCCCTGGCTCTCGCGATTGAGAAGTTACATGACGTAACTGGGCTAAATGGTGCAGCGAACTGGTCATATCTCTATAATATAGACAAATCGCCCTGATTATGACATCTCTAACATCCCAAGGATTTACTCAACAACTGACTACCCCACCAATAACACTGGGAAATACACAGGACATGGACTAGTCAAGCCAGCTGAACATATCGGGATCTCAGAGTCAGGGCAGTTTTGATTCGAATAGTACTAGCTGGGTCAAGACATTGTTGGGTCAGATGCGTCACATGACTGGCATGGGACACTATGTACAGCAGAAAGTGCAGCGAGTAGACAGCATCGATGATAAACTCACAATTATTGATCGTAAACTGACCTCGCTTGAAAATAACCTGCAGCAGACCATCACAAGGGTAGGTAAACTTGAGTCTTGTGTCAAGAATTGTGTCTCAGCAAACCTAGAACTTAAATCTGAAAGCACTAAAGAACGAAAGCGGCTGACAGAGCATATATTGTTGTAATGTGCTAGAATCGGTAGTTGTTTTGCATTAAGTGTTTAAGAGGTCGCCTTCTGCCTGAGCAATTTGGCTGACCTATCCCTCTTTGGGACTCCTGTGTGTGAGTAGGGTACACATATCTATGTGAGTTTGGTATTCACATAATTTCTGTTTTTGTATTGATTGACTTCTATTTTCTTATATTGATATGATTTCATTTTTATCCTTGGCTGCTCTGTTTATATACGTTAGAGTAGCTGTTCATCTCTCGGAAATAGAGTTATTTTGGTCTTAGCTATTGCCTCTCTTGGCTTTGGGAGATCTGTGACAGATAGCGGATCTAACTGCAATTCTTGTTTTAACCTAGTCCGGGCTGGGGCATGGTCTTGACATTCTAGTAACACGTGAGCAAGGGTTTCAGCCTGGTTGCAAGATGAACAAACCTTGTCACAGTGCTTTTTGTGACCGAGTCTGAGGCGTGACATAGCAATTTCAATTGTCCTTTCATTTGAGTATTTGTTTGGTTTTTGTTGGACCTTGGGTTGAATTTTGTATAGCCATCTGCCGGTCTTACTTGCGTCCCATTGGGCTTGCCATCTCTCTGCCATGTTGGCTTTGATTTTACTTTTTATCTCTAGTTTACTAAAGAGAATAGGCTGTATATCCGCTTTGTCTAGAGCTAGCTTCGCCAGTGAGTCTGCTTTTTCATTTCCATGAATATCTATGTGAGAGGGTATCCAACACAGCTCCACCTGTTGCCCTTGGCCCGATAGTTTCGTATATTCGTATAGAATATTGTTGACTGTGTTTGGTCTGGAGTTTGAGTTTCTGCCACTGATGGCTTGAAGTCCACTTAGCCAGTCTGATAGGACGACTGCCTTTGCTTCCGGAAGTTCCAGTATGAGTGCATGATGAATTGCCTCCAATTCAGCCGTGAATACTGACTGACCATCAGGCAAGCGAACTGCATGTGCTTGGGGTTTGGAGCTGTGGATATGGATCCATAACCAACACTGTTGTTGATAGGATTCTTGGATCCATCAGTGTATATATGGGCCCAGCTGTCCCAGGTAGTTTGGATTTTAGTGATAGCCACTGATCGTTGTAGGATTGGGTTTTCTTTTTTAGTGACTTCTGATGTTAAAGCAGTGTCAACGTTGGGAGTTTTTAAAGTCCAGGGAGGGTGTAACCCTTTGTAGTGACTTTCTGGAGGCTGAATGTCATCACAATTGTGACTTCGAATGAGTTCACATACTAATATCCCAGATGGCTTTAGCGAGGGATTTTTAGAACTGGGGCTTCATCTCGAGTGTTTTTGTCTTGCCATATTTTTTTAACCAAAGGGTTATCGTCCCCAGAACGATAATATTGCCTGCTCTCTTCTTAGTTTCAATGGGAGTTCTCCCGTTTCTACTGGTTGTGCTTCTAGTGCCTGTGGCCAGCATTAGGGCTTTGTATTGTATTCTGTCTAGGCGCCTCAAGACAGTATTTGATGCTGAATGAAAGGCCTCACAACCAAAGTCAATTTTTGACCTGATAAGAGATTTGTAGAGGTCCAGCTGAGTGTCCCTAGATGTGCCCCAAGATGTGCCTGAAATTGCTCGTAAAACGTTCAGGTCTTTTTGACATATCTGTTTTTCCACATATTCTATATGTTTGCGCCAAGTGAGGTGTTGATCAAGGATCACCCCAAGAAATATTGCAGATTTTTCGAATTTGATAGGTTTGCCTTTTATGGAGACACGGGGTATCATAGCATCTTTCCCCCGGCGTTTGAATAGAACTCCAACAGTTTTTTTCACTTGAAATGGAAGAATCGGTAGGGATGTGGATGATATATCTTACAATGTAGACTCCCTGTACCAACAACAGGGGGATATGAAAGAGGCTGTAGTGGATCTCAAAGTGAGATTAATGAGAGACAACTTCCTATTTCATGGAATACCAGAAATGCTTGGCGAAGAGCCGAAAGATATCATAAAGGACTTCGTTAAGCGGGAGATGAAGTGTAACACAGAGATTAACCGTGTGAGGCTCATAGAATGGGACCACGAAATGAAAACAAGACCCCGTGTGACAGTGGATAAGTTCTCTAACTCTGATGAGAGATGGAACGTTCTAACCCGTGCGAAGATCCTCGAGGACACAAAGCTTGGCTTTAGTGAACAGTTCCCACCTGAAATTGTTGAACAGCGACGAGAGCTTCTCCCTTTGCTGAAAGAGGCTAAAAGCAGAGGACTAAAGGCAAGTCTAACTGTTGATAGACTGTTTATTAACAATAGAAGGTGTTTCCCTGGTGAGAATCCGTTCGAAGATTCGAGACAGTCTATGTGGTCACTCAGACCTTTGTATGTCAATGTTCTTGAACATTCCCGAGATAAACAACCATGCAAGATGCGTCAAATCGAAGAAGATCGTGACATAACACATATCTAGGCATACAATGAACGTAGGCCGAACACTGTAAATGCAAATGACAATGTAAATATTTCGCTAAATGTTGTGCATGAAGACCATTGTGATGTGTATGTTACAAATAACAATAATGTGTCACCCATCAACAAAAAAGGATGTGAATCTAATTGTGACGATATTCGTGCGCATGCACAGGATACACCAACAGAGCAACCTGTGTATGTGCCCTCGCCAACAGGCGCTTTCATATCACGTAACAGTGAGGGTTCTCATTTTAAACTGATTTACTTAAATGTGTGTGGTTTGAAATCGAGATTACTTATTCCTGAATTTACGAATTTTATTTCAAACTATGAAATGTTATGCTTTGTTGAAACAAAACTAGATGAATTTGATTGTATTGGCATTCCTGGATATGCAATGTTTTATGAACCTAGAATTACAAGTACTGGTAGAAAATCAGGCGGTATAGCCGTTGCTATGAAGCATGAATATGTACAGCATTTCCAAAGAAAAGCCGAATCCTCGGAATATGCTATATGGTTTCTCGCTTCCCATGAAATATTAGATGTATCCTGTAATGGAGATATTTATATTGGTATCTCATATATTCCACCAGAGGGTTCACCATATTACTCTGACGAAACATTTCCAAAACTACGTAATGAAAACTCGTGTAAATTATCAGTAGATTGTGATAATCATTGGTGACTTCAATGCAAGGATACGTACTTTGTCAGATTTTATTACAACTAACTCAAGCTCTATCAACGAAGATATATTCCCCAACGATTTTGTTGTCTATATGAATGATGTTGAAAGATTAAAATATGCTAATGTATTGTTAGAAAGGTCAAGTCAGGATGTTGGGATGCCAACCTCACATGGTTATAAGCTAGATGATTTTTGTAAAAACAATAATATATACATTGTTTATGGCCGAGTTGGACATGACAAAGGAGTTGGCAAAGTTACATGTAAAGGAGTAAGCTTGGTTGATAATGCTGTAGCGAGCGCTAATGTTTTCCCAACAATAGAAGATTTCGAGGTCCTGGATTTTGAACCATTGTTCTCAGATATCCACTCACCTATCACTGTAACACTAACAAAAAACTTCGATAAGCCTGTTACACCCCAAACGTTGAGAACAGAGAACGACACAAGCCCCCACCTTAGAAAATGGAATAGGACACTTGCTTCTGAATATGTCGACTCTATTGACAAAGAGGTTATACAATCCATTGAATCTGAGCTACTTTGTGCTGATAATGATAAGCTAACTGATGTTATAACAATGACAAAATAAGTGATGTGCTTCTTTGTACTGCTGGCAAAGTGTTTGGATTAGTTGAAAAGAGTAAGAGAAAATCAACACCCCACAAGCGCACTAAAATTTGGTTTGGTAAACAATGCAAATTCGCCCGTGGAAAATACTTTGTAGCCAAGAGATGTTTCAAACGTAGTCAAACATTCCAAAATATACAACGACTTTCAAATATGCATTTAAAAAAACTTCAAGACAAAGTATATAATGTTGATAGAAATGACCCCCATTTATTTTGGAAACTTCTTAAGCAAAGGC